ACTTGCTGCTGTTGTCATATTTCAAGAGACTGACGTTGCTAGAAAAATTATTCTACCGAAAGCTCCCCGGTATGGATTCATCGATATAGATTGGATGGATGTCCAATAATGAAGCGCCTTGTTTGAATACAGACGACATCGGGGAGGATATATCAAGGATTAGAGTTTTTCCTACAACATGACATGACTTGCATATTCGGTGCTCTTTGTGTTTCATAGGCTACGGAGTAATAATAGTTCACCATTTCACCTGTAGGAAAAAAATGACGTATCTGTGAAAGGCCTTCACGGAAGTAACGGTATCCTTCCAGAGGCAAATCGGCTGGCATCAGATTTCTCCAGAATTGCGAAGAAATCCTACTCGGCGTGTCGTGTAGCATCAGATCTTTGAGATCCCAGCTGGGAAGTACCCGGACGTTCCAGATGATCTAGGGTTTCACGGCCATTCGGGGCAAAACATCCGAGGCAAACCGAGAGGCGAGGTAAGTGACTCCGGGCGTCAGGCGGCGATGAGCGAAACCAAGTCCGTGGTCAAGGTACTCTCACTTACCCCCAAGGTGTCCGTGACAAGCGACAGTGATGTGAGGACCCGTGGTTGATGCGGTTGAAGATGCAAGCGTGATGCGTGACAGTGTGACCTGCAAGTGTGGCTGCCTGGGGCCAAAATCCGGGGAAGGATCGTAGATTCTTTTTGTTTTCCGGCAGTTTACAATTTTTTCCCTGATCAGTTTTTTTCCCCCCCCCGGTGGATCAGCTTCCCAAAAGAGTCCGGGTATACTCACCGGTTGGACCGGGTCGGTGGATTAGGCCAGTCAGCTTTTGCGACAGTGGGGCGTATGGATGGAGAATGGAAAAAATTTTCAAGCGCGTGTCAGTGGATGAGGCATTTCTGGGTCGGCGTCATTTTTCTCTGACAAAGGTCTCAAAGTCCAGCCCTCAACAGTCTGGGGAAGCTGCCTGTTTTCGGTTTAGCCCGGCATATCCGTGGATCCTCTCAATTCCAGTCACATCTCGTTACATGATGATATTCATTGTCGCCGGTGCGGGGTGGTTTCATACGATGATGTGATGATGCGCGAGAGTCGCCGGTCTGGAGTCTGGACTGGGACTTGATGACCGATGCTATACTGCGTACATGTGTTTACGCAAATGAAGGCCGTGAGTGAGTGATTTATGTGAGGCAGATCGGTTGTTACTTGAGATCAGCCCCATGCCAAGAAGGACAGCGAGCATGGCGACCATGCCATCGTAACAATACTAACAATACTAGTCCGTTAGCCCTAATTGGAGATCACGGACCGTTTGTCCCCCTGAGTATCACTTGGGATTTTTGAGGCATTTCTGTTCGGATATTACCGCCCTTCCAGAGACAGGAACTGATGAGAGCATGACAGGGATGGTTCCATTCTTTCCGTGTAATCTAGAAGCATCTGTTTTGGCCTGGAATGTGGCATAAGCGTTTCGATGGCAAGGCAGGACAGAACCTGAACTCATAATGAGAATCCGATTAAAATTTTGCTATGATGCAATCATGCTGTCGGTTCCCTTTTGCGGGGAAGTTCTTTCCTTGTCTAGAAGGAGGTATGAGAGTCCCAAAAATAATAATTGGAAACATAATACGGAGTAATAGTTTAGGGTTGTATAGTTTCCTCCCCTGCCTCAAGGAGGGAAATCCACTTCCCCGTGGTACGGCGTACAACTATAACCTGTAGTTCCCTATAGTCTTCGGCAACGTCTAGGAGCATCGAACTCATCTAGAATCCTCCAAGTGACGCAAAATCCTGTCCTGACCGCAAACTTCAGGGCTGAAGCAAGAGGACAAGAGAGGCCTCACATTCGACTACTGTAAGGATCAACTTTCGCAATTGATGGACAACTCAAGGTGACGACTCGTGACCGTCGAGTCAGCAATTTTCATTACCCCCAGAAAACTCCCATGTGAGCCGCCACCGCCCCTTATTGGCTGCCAAGCCAGTTTCTATTACGTTTCGCCACGGCTTGGAATCCATGTCAGATGATCAGAAGAGCCATAAAAGCGGCAACGTGGATCAAGCGAATGGTGGAACCTGTTGCCTCCAATCGGCCGCTCGGAATGCCCCCAATGCACAACGTGACTGGATCAGACAGCCGCCTGATTCTACCGCTGCTTTAACCGAGCTGTCAACATCATGGCGCTGTACCGCGCGCATAACTCATGCCGCGTTGTGGTTGGACGGTGGTCCGCTTACCTAAGATGGAGAAAGGGAAGAATTTTCTGAATTTATTTTTATTTTTGCATTTTTTCTATTTTTTTTTATTGCTCATCCCATGATTCCCAAACTCATAACTTCGGTCAGTATGGAGTACAACAAATGGGCTCCACAATTCCAACCCACCGCACAGCGACTGCGTGTGACCCTTGGATCCAAAGTGTCTGTGCCTGGAAAGGAGTCAGAGCAGCCAATGGTGCAATCATAGGCGTTCGTCACGGCACAACAGGGGAATTGCGAGCTTTTCTTGGCCGCTTTCCCTGGTAACACTGGGGGTCATACTTCCTGACTATATAAAAACCTTCCCCGCCGCAATGTCTGGTACCAGTCTATAGCAGTCCCCATCAGCTAAAGAGAAGAGAAAAAAAAAGAGAAAAAAGAAAAGAGAAAACATTTTCTTTCTCAATTCACTTCCCACTTCTCTCTCTCCTCGTGAATTCATCTCGACTTTCTTCAATTGTACTTTGTACCGTTGCATCCCGGTCCATCGTTTTACTATACAACTATATCCGGCGACCCGCTTGGAGATCTACCGTCATTGAGTCATCGAGCCTAGATCGTTGTTTAGATACACCGCACAGCGTTATACAGCCATTATGCCAGCTTCAGTGAATTACCGGGTCATTGAGCCCCATCCCTCCGTCTCGCGTCCAGCTCTCCATACAGCTCGCGGCGGCGCAGGCAACATTATCAGCCTGAAGAACACCAAGACCACCCCTTCACAGACGGCCACCGGTCCAGCATCCTTGACACGTCTGGACTCCCACGTCCCCGCCGTCTACAAGTCCGGTCGTGGTGGCGCAGGAAACGTCCACAGCAGCAGCGAGCGCGCCATCTTCAGCTTCGACGAGGAACTCGAACGGGACCTTCGTCGCGCCGCTCCAGTCTACCACGTCGGCCGCGGTGGTGCCGGAAACATGGTCTACAGCGACAACGGAAGCACCCTGAGCCGCAAGTTCTCCATCAGCAGCAATGTCACGTCGAGTAGCACCGGGTCGACCAGCTCCACCCGGGAGAAGGCCCTGCGCGGCTTGGAGAAGGGTTGGGGCAAGTTGAGGGGAATGGCCTAGAGACGTTTTGCAAGATACATTCGCATACGGCTTGCCGTCCTTTGGTTCGAGCGTTCTCGCATTTCGCATTTCGCATTTCGAACATGAACATCACGACTTACGACCACCCCCCCAAAAAAGTTTTTTGTTTTCCGTCTCTCGTCGATCTCCTCTTCCAACTTCATTTGCGATTCTCGACACCCCCTACTTCAACATCCCATTTTAATCTCGTCAATTCGCTTTTCTCCAGCAGAAACTATTAACTGTTTTTAACTTTGCTGTTCGCTTGCGCCATTTCTCGACTCCCATGTCGATATTGATACCCCCACCACTGCCAACCGGCACTTTACTTTCTTGACTGCCTGTTCAGGGTCAATCAACCTTGTTTCAACACACATCTTCACTCTTCATGTCTTCATATCTCTATATGTACGCCCGGTTCTGGAATCGGCAACAGGGCTTTCACGTCCTTTTACCTTATATACTATATTTCCGAACTGGAAACCACTGCTTTCAATGAACAGGAACAAGAAAGTTCGAACGCACACTATATCTCCTTGCTTTTCTCTATGTAGAGCTATATCCGGTAGACTGTATGTTCCAGACTTGTATCCCTGGTATGTGTACCCCTGAGCAATTCGAGGTGGGATGACGATAGACGATCCACCTCCCCCTTACTGCGGGGCTAATAACCAGGTACTACTAATGTATAGTCACTATGCACCATGCATTCCTCTGTCTTGGTATATTCTTGGACGTGTGTCCACCCAATCTAAGAACATCTATAATGTATATAAATATAGTTAGACAAATTGTATATACCTGTGTCTTTCATGACAGGCTTCCATTGTCAAAGATTCTTCTGCATATAGTCAATACTAACTACCAAGTTATTTATGACTTGGTGTGCATCCGGTGTAGAATGCGGTCCAGGCAATTGGAACCAGAGGGTGGGTAGAATGCTTGTATATGCTGTGTTCAGGGGTAGGGGTGAGATCGGAGTGGGGGTTTCATCTGTTCTGTGCTTAGTTAAATGGTGATTATGGTCTATGGTTGATACTCGTGGTCTATTGTAAAGGTGGACGTGCTCTTCTGAGGAGAGTTGAAATTCTCTATTAGCTACTCTTAGACGAACTATCAATGAGTCACTGGCATCAATACCATTTGCACACTTAGACTTGTCCATATATTGTGTGCTAATGCGAGCAAGAGTGCAATTCATAAAGATTCATTTATCTATTCCAATATTTACACAGCTTAAGTCAATTCAAACCCACCTGCATGACAAGGGGTCAGGCATAACAATTAGAGAAGGCGCAGAGGAGAGCAACACATGAGTCGATTCATCCGTGGTCATGGTAGCCGGCAAGAAACGTGATGGATGATCGAGCATGTCCGCTAGGACATGGGGTGTGTGTGAGTATTGATGGGGGAGGAAATCGAGATGATATGAGGGTATGGCAGCATCTGCCATAAGTATATCATATCATGGACGTGCTAAAGTGAGAAAAGAGAGGGGTATCAAAAGCTGCTGCTCATCTGCGGACAACAGCAGCTGACGGTTCTATCGAGGATTCGTGACTTTCTCAGTAACATCACTTAATGTATGTTTGGCTTTGGTCTGTCACTGTGTCGCTATTGGCGAACGGTGGATGACTAGCGTCACTTATGCTGTCTTGCGTTCAAGCGGTTCAAGGCAGCATTAGGCGAATTTCCGGTGGATGATCTCCGGATCTTCGTGCCATTCATCGGCGCTGACCCACATCTAGAGATTTCTGGTGTTAGCATTGGAGAAGGGTATTTGCAACTTATGTCACTGGAAGTGACAGCGGACATACCTTGCGGAACGTGCTCAAACCAGCCAGGATTCCTCCACCGATCCAGGTCGTGTATTTCCGCTCGGCCGGCGCAGAAATACGGATCTTCATGTCTTCCACAGCCAATCGCTTGATCTCGCGCATCAGTCGGTCCGGGAAGTTCTTGCATAACGTCGAGCCTCCCGACAGGACAATGTTGAGATATAGATCTTTGCGCAGGTCCAGGTCTGTGCGGGTAATCGCATCCTGGACGATCTGATGAACACCAGGGTACTCCAGGCCGATGAGTTCAGGGTCGAAAAGGATCTCAGGAGCACGGTAGCGTTCTTGACCAATCTAACCGGACGTTAGAACCACCCGAAGCAATCATAGATGTAGCGACAAACCTTGATCTTATGCCCATCTGGCAACCTGTAGTCCACGGCCTTAGTCTCCGATTTATGATAACTGTTCATCCACTCCTTCTCTTCACGCTTCGGATCCAGCGAAACATAGCACACCTCCTCCTTGATTTTCCGCACCACCTCCTTCTCGGCACTGGTATACAGCACATGTCCATTCTTCCGGAGCAACAACTGCAACTGTTCTGTAACATCCCGCCCCGCGACATCAATCCGCCGTATACTGTTCGGGATCGCAAAACCCTCATACACCGGCACCGCATGGGAGACACCATCCCCTGAATCCAAGACCACGCCAGTCGTGCGGCCGGACGCATACAGTGATAGCACGGCCTGAATAGACGTATAAAGAGCCGGGACATTGAACGTCTCGAACATAATCTGGGCCGCCGTGTCGCGGTTCTTGCGGGGATTGAGCGGTGGCTCAGTCAGGAGGACCGGGTGCTCTTCAGGCAGCGTTTTCAACTCGTTCTCGTAGACGTAATGCCAGATTTTCTCCATGTCGTCCCAGTCCGTTACGATGCCGTGTTCTAGCGGGTACCGAATCTTCAACAGGCCGCGCAGCTCCTGTGCTCGCGATCCGATGAAGACATCTCCTTCTAGACCGCCGGCCATCACCCGCGGGTGTTTTGGCCGACCGACGAACGACGGGAAGAAACATGAGGGGACTTCCTCTCCTGCAAAACCGGCGCGAATTGTGCCGCTGCCATTGTCGATGACAATGGGGGCGTTATGGAGGGTGGCCTCGGCCATTGCGAGAGCGAGGGGTGTGTGGCTCGGGGGTTAAGTTGCGGATGGTTAAAGGGTCGGTGTTTGGGTGAAGCGCGGTTGTTGTGAGAGGGCCCCACGGCCGGGGAGGTTGTGTCAGGTAGGTCCTAGAGCGGAGGAGTTGTTTCCGACAACCTGTATTTAATTGGGGCCTTTGGTGTCGAGAAACTTGGGAGAAATTGAGGGAGAGAGGTGTGCACAAGGGGGGGTGTTCCTGGCCGCAACTTTCGCGTACATCTGGAGTCTCGCATGTTTCCCGTGCCCGTCAACATTCAGAGGAGCTTGGGCCACATCGGGCTACAACTATAACGACCAATCGCTACCACAAAAATCTATAGATGATTCGTTCAATTTCTTGTTCTAGATACTAAGGTGGTCTTTTCAATTGATTCTATGCCTGTGGAAATATACAGCTGACATTTACGCAGCATATAAGACTTGTAGAGCAACATTCCCTGCAGCTAGCTGGCCTGTAAGTTTGGGGTAACATAAACGAAAAGCCCGAATTCTTGAGCCTGTTCGAGCAGATCGTATACTTCATTTGAGGGCCAATAGGTATGACTATATAAGCTTCAAAACACACCAGTAGATTCGGACATCATGCTCTCACGCAGAGGTACCCCGGTGAGGGAATGAATTTAATCCAAGAAGCCCAATTCATCCGACATCACTTGCTCCAGCGTGCGATGACGTTTCTGATTTGCTCCATTAACAGGCGGCCAAGTCAGCATGCGAGCCCGTAGTGTCTCTGCGTGCCCTACAGCAACAGACACCTCCCTGGAAAACAAGATTAGTGTAATCAACGGAGGAATCCACAGGGTACCATACTGATGTCCGCTAGCAATGACATATCCTTGCTTCTGCAACTCATGGGCCAGTTCCACCTGGTGGTTGTCCTTCAAGGTTGTATTGGGAACAACCACAAGTGGCACTCCTAACCGTAGTGCGCCCAGGATACTGCCCGATCCTTAAGTTGAGATCAGTGTTTCACAATCTTTTCTGTGGACGAGACCGCAATAATTACCTGCATGACTGATGATTAACCCCCCATTTCGACCTTCATCAAGTCTCGCTTGAGCAAGCCTCATCTCCCCGTCTAGACCTGCATGATTGAAATCGAACCCGTCTATCTCAATACCGTGCCGGCTCGGGCTCCCAGGGGGATATTTGCTGAGAAGCTCTTCAAAAAGAGCTTGGCTGTCCTTCCCGTATTGGACTAGGAGATGCGTATAATTGGCTTCATGCAAGGCAGCTAGAAATCTATCGTCCAATATGGCCTGCAGAAGTAAATGAAACGAAGCCGTGGCTCCCACCGTGACGAAGCATAGCTTCATAGGGAGGGCCTGGTCTTGCGATGCCATGACTGGTGCCTTTAGGTTTCAAGAACCTATCTCTGGCAAGAACAATAGCACAACACCCTGCCTGGGCTGGAGAAGCATATTAATCTTTCTCGATCGGACCAGTTCAACGCTGGGCCGAGTATCGCATCTGTGCAACTGTATTGATGATGCTCGTAAGGCGGTGGATGACCATCCCACCCGATTGGGCTTAGTGCCTCCGGGCGAACTTCAATCCGCAGAAAAACATCACCAAGTCCTGTTCAAGCGCTTCCCAGCCCAACACCCCATTTGCAATGGCCTCAGCAGCAAGATACCTGGGCCGGTCGGCCTTGTCCATGGCCCGGAGAGGCCCAATTGCGATCCCCTACCGCTCATTCTCCGCCACCGCGCCCAGTTTCGTGTCAGAAGACCCGCCAGTACCGCCTGCTCCCCGAGAACCCCGTCCGGAGGATTTGCCTGCTATAGCGGAGTACTCTCCTAGTCTACTTTCCAAGGAGGAGCGATCGATGTATGACATGCTGGCGCCCGAAGAACGGGAGCAGTTTGACGCCGAGAACCGTCGGATGGTGGAGGAGTTTAATGACCCGCAGAAGCGAGCGGCCGCGTTTGCGGAGCTCGAGAAGAGCGTGAACCAGATAGATAAGGAATACCCCATGCGGTTTGACGACATTCGGGAGAAGCGAGTTGGATTCTGGGGTGACGAGGAAGACGATGAATTCGCCTACGTTGAAGACGCTGATGAGGAGTTCAACGACGACGATATCACGTCGATGGCTCATGCGGAACTCGAAGTACACCGCGAGATCAGAGAATACGCTAGGATTGCTGCTTGGGATATGCCATTGCTGAGCCGTAAGTGCTTTGTCCGAGTTTGTTCCCCATCTCTGCTAATCCCTCGGTAGATCTTGCCAAGCCGTTCACCCTCCCTCCGCAATCTCACATTCTCCGCTTCCGCTACACCACATACATGGGCGAGTCGCACCCCGCCGAGAACAAGGTCGTCGTCGAGCTGAGCACTCAGGATTTAACCCCCAAGCATCTCTCCGAGGCACAGCGCCAGACGTTCCTGAAACTCGCTGGGCCGCGGTACAACCCCGACACCGACATTGTACGGATGTCCTGCGAGAAGTTTACCACTCGTGCTCAGAACAAGCGTTATCTAGCCGATATCGTAAACTCATTGATTAAGGAGGCGAAGGAAGGAGATGCCTTTGCCGACGTTCCCCTTGACCTCCGCCATCACAAGCCGAAGACCAGGCTCCAATTCCCAGACTCCTGGAAGTTGACCTCGGAGCGCAAGAAACAGATCGAAGCTCGCCGTGCTGAGAGACTACGCCTGGAGAAGGAAAGAGCAGGCATCGTGGATGGCAAGGCGGTAATCGCCGACGCGGCTCGGGTCTTGCCAGCATTGAACCCTGCCTTGAAGGCCAGGGCAACTGAAGAGCGAGAGAAGGTTGCTGTTCGGGTCACTGGCAAAGCACAGAAGAAGAGACTACGCTGAATATGAGCAACGTACGAATGCGAGGTGTACAATTTATCTGTCTGTTGGTCTGGGTGCTTTTTCAACCTTAAAATATCAGGAGCGGCGCAATCGCAATGTCATATTAAGCTTACTTATACAATGTATTATACTCATTCATCTTCATACATACACCTTATTACACCTTTCAGTCTTAGTCTCAGATGGCCTCGACACTAATCCTGGGCAAGCCTTCATGTGTAAATGTAGAGGAGCGTTCATGTAAATCAATTTCCATTCCTGTACATATCACCAGGGTCCTGTTTTTTTTTTTTTTTTCTTTTCTCTTTTGTTTGTTTTCTGGGTCAGTGTACGTATGTTATAGTCGCAACCCTCCTATAATACACCGAAACACGAGCCTATTATAATAGGAAAGGAAGGAACAAGAAAATAGAAAAAGCTATCCCCAGGTACTTCACAGAAATGGATATTTCGAGGGATTGCAAAAGGTTCACATTGCGCAATTGTTGTATCCTAATCGTCATGTCGTGCTATATCCCTCGAGGATATACAACGATGAATCCATCCAACAAACGCGAAAGAAGACATACGAAAAGAAGAAAAGGTTGAATTCGGCGTAAACGGTATCCTAGCAAGGTCCGGTACTGCAAACTATCCACCCGTTCATAAATGACATCCTGTCCGGCAGAAAGGTATATTTAGTTGAACTAGATGTTAGTCGATTTATCATATGGTCAAACTTCCCAAATATTTCGAGTCCACATGGTCGAAGTCATAAATAGAGGGAAAAGGGGCAAAAAGAAGCTCCGTCACGAGTTTCAGTTGATGATCGTACATGGAGGATGGAGGACAAGAGAAATCTTTTCGCTGTGTGTGTGGTATTTACTGCAAATGCCCCAATACATCCGCTTAGAATTCATACTCTATTGGGGATCCGGTGGGTCTGTTGCGGTGGACTTTCTTGGTGCCGATGGGTGCCTGCATCGTTCCGGTATCTTTCCCCTTGAACTGACTGCGATGAGCTCGAGGGCTGGATCCAGAGGAGAACGAGGCTCCAGAATGGGTCGATGGAGAGGCACCCCGAGTCGGAGGCTCCGAGGACGCGGCGCCAATATGAGAAGGGTCAGGGATAGGGCTCGTCAACAGAGTGATGGGCGTATCCTTAGAGATGACCGAAACCACACTGGGGGACGCAGTCGCATGACTATTATAGGTAACGAAGGAATCAGCCTCGCCCTTTTCCATGCTCACATCGGGCATAATCATTTGGGACCTGGGTTGATAGAGACGGCGTGACTTTTGGCTTTTCTTGGAGCGTGGCTGGGTCGGGGTGCCTTCAAAGGAAGTTGACAGGTAGTCGGCACTTGCGGCTATGGGAGCTGGCATAAGCGAATGAAGATTACGGACAAATTCCTCGTGCTGAACCCTATCAACGTTCTCAATGGCGGCTTGATCTGTAGGACTTGGGTAAGGCAGACCACTCATACCTCCTCCCATATGATTCAGGGTCGGATATTCTGGAAGGGGATCAAAAGAAAGGAGGTCTATCCTTCTAGGCACCGAATTAACCGGGCCTGGGATATACTTGTGCGCATGCTTAGGGTTAGTCGAGGTCTTGGGTGAGCTCACAGCTGGGTAGACATGGCGAGATGGTCCAGTAGCCCCCGTAGCATGTTGCTGAGTAGAAATATAGTGGGCAGTCTTCTGCTTAGAAGCTTTTTCGATATCCGAGGAATCGATCGCGCCATTGATCTCCAAGCGTGAAGGATACTGGATCGACTTCATAGCGCCACGCTCCACAGTATCATCCTTCCAGTGTTGACCATGACTGGCGTGAGAACGTGGGTGGCCATGTCCATTGGGCAGGAGGCTGGGAATGCCGTATTTTTCGCGGTACCAACGAGGAATATCCCGAAGGCCAAGTTTTTCCAAGGTGGAAAGGTCATTAGGCATCTCGTGCTTATAGAGACAACCTGAAATGTATTAGCTGATTTATGTTTTTGTAAAACTGCGTTCCTTTCCATGTGCCTTTTACCTTGCTGCTGATAGTCGCATTCACCATGACGGATCCAGTACGAACAAAACTCCTTCTTCGAGTTGTAATGAGCACTCTAATAGGACATTAGCTGGTGCTCTATCTTTACTGGTGCAGGTCCTCGTCGGGTTACATGTTGGGTAGCACTTACCTGCCTCGAACTTCCGCTACCTGTGCCACCGCTGCTGCTAGGAACCAACCAACCACTGGTCGGAGCGTTGGACATGAACCAGTTCTGGGAAATGCCTTGCTGAAGGAGGGCATTCACGGCGAGGCGCTGGTTTGCCGGAACATTCTCATCAGAGACGAGTCTCATGAGGGAGGCCTGTAGATCAAAGTCACGGGAACGAGGGCCAGAAGAAGCGCGGGTCGACGCTGGCACCAGGCCATCGATGACGTAGGTTTGCGCTCTTGGACTCACGGTGCCTAAGCTAGTCATGCCCTGGGTCTCGTTGGCGGACAGTGTACGAGGGACTCCACGAATCGATATATGGGAAGGGAGCTCGTCAACAGCAATGAGGGGGGTGATAGTGCCATTTGGACGGGCACAAAAGAACTGGGGGCGAAGTGGAGAGGACATGATGGCTCGCTTAGGCCTCGAATCACCTCAAACCCTGCTGTATTGCTGTTGTGGATGTTAGATATAAGAGAGCGATGAGAGAAAAGAGTTCTATGACGCGATGTTGGAGTATACCGTCATGAAAGGGAAGAAAGTGAGAAATAAGCTGAGGCTAAATAGGTGAACAAGAAGAACAGAATTTTTACAAGGAGTGGAGAAGAACAAAAACGAGAAAGAGGAACAGAAAGGGAGATTTGCGATTTAGTGAATCTCCAGATGATGTCGTGGTGCGTAAAAGATTTGTTGACATTCACTGGTTGAGAGCACTGACCCAAGGGATCTCCAGAGTCAAACAACATTAAAGAATAGTAAAGGAAAATAGACATAAATCTAATGAGCTGCTATATATGAGCATAATAACAATTTTGAAGAGAGAAAGCCATGTAAAGACATGAATGAGAACGAGAAAAACAATGCAAGAATGCAGTCTAAAGAGCCTCCGAGTATAATAAAGCAAGAACGCAGATAATGGTGAAAAAGAAATTCACACACAAAGTTTCAAAATGGCAAAGAACAAAAGAGGAAACGCCCTAAATGTATAAGAAAAGTGGACTAGAGCCCAATGCCGCCAGTGTTTGTCCGATAATGTTGGTCAGTACAACCATCTGCTCGGATGGCTGCAGCTTCTGAGGCGCAATTTCTCATTGCTCGTTTCCCGCGTCTTGCAGAAAACACTCTACTGTTTAGTGCTTCGGAGATGCTGAATCTCCTGCTCTCCCTTTTCTCCTTTTCTTCATTTCCGTCCCTTGAATTCGCCCCTTCTCTGGTCTTCCTTTTCTTTCAGGAAGTGTCCCCAGGACAAATAACCTGTCTTGTAGAGCAGCTCTCGAACCGGTCACTGAAAGTCACATTGATGGTAAGTATACATTCTGATACTGGTGCTAATCCACCATTCTCACTGTTTCATCCGTATTCCAAATACTGATCCCTATACAGATCGTGTCCCCGGAATCGGTGGTTCGTGGCATCCTGGAATACGACTAGCATATATACCCTTCAAACGACATACATCATGTATCGGCGCCGATTTGACGAGGGCAAATGGAGACAAACGGACTGCGACGCCCTTTAATCTTGTGAGTAGGTGTGGTGTGGTTTTGGTCTACACAATAGTTGACATGTTGAAGACTCGGAGGCCAATCAATCCAATAACTGAGCATCCACGACATGTGACTACCGTCCCCAAAACTACGATTGGAATTGGCCCTCTCAGCCTTTAATCCGAGTAGTGAGTCGTTTCGTGCAACAGTTGTTCCCGAAGGTGTATGGGTTTACTATGTATTGTACATCTCTCGCCTTTCACATATGGCGACCTGCCCCCCAAGTGTAAAATGATTATAGGCGCCCCAGAATGAACCTGAAAAATCGCTAAGGCCAGAGAAGAGAAGAAAGCAAAATATAGACAAAAAAAGCTAAGATCGGCCAGAAAATGTGCGTCCTACGGGTTTAAGGATAAAAGGCCCATCCCATGCTCATCCCCTCTCGCCATTCATCATTACGTTCGTACTCGAGGCATGAAAGCCTTACCTCCTGACTCTCAGAATGTCTGGTTGTAGGACTGGGTGAACCTGACATCCGTCCCCGGCTGTGTTGCCGGTTCAGCGAACCGTATATTCTCTGTCAAGTTGATTGCTGACGGCTTTGTGGCAGTGGTGTTAAAAGTGGCGAGAGTTGCACCACCAGGTGTACCCTGAGTTGCTGTGAGACTACCCGTAGCCTTACTGGCCTGTCTTCTTTTACGCTGTGCAAGGTCACCGCGAATACCAGTCAAATATTTCTTCGCTTGAAGGACGAGTTCAGGGTCCTCAGTACTTTGCTTCAGAGCGTCCAGCATCTTGGCCACTTGTGTGTCTGATTGTAAATGAGGACAGGTGCGGGAGAACCCAAAATGTGCAAGACCGCAGAGGCCGCAATGCTCTACGCCGGCTAGTTTCAAACGACAGGAGCCGACCGGGTGATTCTGATTGCAGGCGAAACACGAGGGTCGGGTCTCCGTGGGGCCGTCCATGCCTGCCGCGCTCATCGAGAGGCCGTGGTCGATTATGGGGTTGACTCGTTCGAATGCGCGTACTTTTGTTCTCTTCGCCGGACGTTCTTCGGGATCGAGCTCGGGAGGAGAGTCAGACTCAGATTCCACGGCATCTTCCCCCTTGAATTCAGTATCGCTTTCAGCGTCTCGTTTACGGGGCGCTTTAGCGGGGGATAGTTCCGTAGTAACAGCATTTGAATAGTCAACGGTCACCCGCTTTCTCTTTCCGCGTCCGAAGTTTTCGGCTTTTCTGGCTTCTTCTGCTGCCGCATCTTCTCGCTCCTTAAGGATCTTCTCCCAAACAGCACTATTATCTGATGTAGAGTCTTCTGTGTCTTGCAGTTCGCTTAAATTCTGGTTGTCATTCGCCCAGACCCGAGCAAAGCTAAACTGGGATTCAGAGGCGTTCTCGTTGGGAGACGAGACCTGTTCAGCTTGACTGCGCTCAAGAAGTTTATCGACAGACGCAGAATCATACCGTATATCCCCTGAATCATCGTCCTCAAACAATGCTTGAGCTCCATGTCGAAGGATAGATTCCAGGTCCTGTCCGTCATCTTCCTCTGAGACCATTCGGTCAATCAGTACATGATCTAGCACCATCTTCTTCTTACCAATCTGCATGATCTTCTCTTCAGCGCTGCCCCGGGTCATCAGTTGAAACACAAGCACCTTGTTCTTTTGTCCTATGCGGTGAGCACGCGACAATGCTTGCATGTCCTGGTGAGGGTTGAAATCAGGGTCCATGATGATGACGGTATCTGCAGTGGCAAGATTGATACCCACACCTCCCGATCTGGTGGAGAGTAAAAATGCGAAGTATGGCGAATCTTCAGCATTGTACTGGTCAATCATTTTCTGCTTCTCCAAAGATGACATTCTTCCATCAAGGCGGCGATGCAAAAGCCCCAACCCATCAAGAAAATCTTCAACTATATCCAAATTGTCAAGAAATTGACTGAAGATCAAAACTCTATGACCGCTCTCTTTGAGCTTCGGCAGCATTAATTGTAAGAGCTGGAGTTTTCCAGCCGCCTCTACCAAGTGCTTGTGAGATGTAGCAGCATTGTTTGTCCGCTCCTCAATAGCTGTGCTATAAATGAATGGATGGCACAAGCATTTTCGAAGCTGCATCAGGATATTGTTCAGGTTTTGACGTTCGGCTTGTTTGGGACCATCGGTATCATTCTTTCGCTGGAAGATAGCCTTGATCAACTGTGGATTCTTCGCCAGAATGGACTTGTATAGTTTCTTCTGGACAACGGACATAGAAACTGGAACAATGATCTGGACAACCGGTGGAAGAAAAGTGAGCACCTGGGCTTTTGTCCGGCGTAGAAAAAACGGCCGGATCATGTTGTGTAATTCAGGAATATTCTCTTTTGATAGTATTCCATACTCGTTTTCCAGCTCCTCTGCATTCTTCGTTGGGTCACAGAATTGAAGAAGGTTGAACAACTCCCTGGTATTGTTTTGCAGAGGAGTACCTGTCAATAGAAGTTTGAAAGGGAAATGAATCCGAGACAGTGACTCATATAACTGGCTTTTGTCATTTTTCAAACGTTGGCCTTCATCGACGACCAAGCCAGCCCAGGGTATTTTAGCGAGGAATCTTCGAGAGGCATCATCAGCCATGGTTTCATAGGAAGTCACAACTACATGGCATCTTAGGTCATGGCTGCCCGCATTAAACATCTCATATTTCTGCGCTAGTTGACGCGAGAACGATGATCCATAGTATGTGACCACCCGGATGGAAGGAACCCATGCTTTTATTTCTTTTCGCCAGTTTGGACACGTCGAGTTTGGTACCACAACAAGGAATGGCCAGCATTTGTGATACTGTATCAAAGTCGCAAACAGGCCAATCACTTGAATGGTCTTCCCTAGGCCCATCTCATCGGCAAGAATGGCGTTCTGTTGTTTGAACCACATGTAATAAAGCCAGTTCAAACCATCTTTTTGATAGTCCATCAGTTGCCCCCCGGTCATAGTTTCAGGTTGTGTGTCTTTCACTATACTTTTCTTGAAACTTTGCTTTCGGACCTGCTCCAGATGCTTTCTGAGAGAATGTTGATTTGGCATATAAGTGTAGTCACGTTTCACCCAGTCCTCGTATGCAGTTTTGAAATCAGCCCACCTCTCAGCATTGTTGCGGTCAGGTGGTGAGTCCCATACTGCATCCTCATATGTTAGGCCCTTAAACTTTATGTAGGCTTTGGACACCCTATCAACTCGTGACTTGACTGCTTCAATAGATTGATCCTCCGAATCATCGTCATTGTTGTCATCTGCGTACTGGACATCGAAAATAATGTCAGCTCGAAGGAAGTCTTCCGGTATTGCCTCTTCGGTTGTCATATCCGGGTTTGAGTTTTTGTTTGATCTGAAAAATGCTCGTCGCATGGCCGGGCTTACAACGCTCCATACCCAGCTGCCAGGTACCCAGGTGGTATGATAATAAGACATTGTTTTCCATTTTATTAGGTATTCTTTGTCGACCTCCTCCATGATATTTGCGCTGTACCCAGCAACGTATGTTTTAAGGTCTGTTGGTCTCCAGGCAACCATTGCACCGATCTCTCCAGGGGCCGAAGAACAGTCTCCACAGCGCCCCGTTGTTTTATGTTCTGCAGAGATATGATCAAAATGAAACGCTCTATGACATTCAGTACAGCGAAAGAGTAAGTTGGCTGTATTATTCAAACGAGCCATATCCACATGGGTGATAGGATCTTTGCCACCATTCTCCTGCCGAAGCTGCTGCTCCTGCTTTGGCGTCAAGCGCTCCCGAAGTGACTTAGACATATTCCCTTTCTTAGAACACGCAGTGCAGCGGCCTTGGTGTGGGCAGACCTGGTCTTTCGTATGGGCAACACCCAGGCAGCGACGACACTGAAGAACAAACAAGTCATCCGAAACTTTAGTTACAAGGTGTTCGCGTGTAGCTCGAGGACCTAGGCAAGATTGATGATAAGTGCTTGTACATCCCTGACAGAAGACAAGAGGGCCTTTCGCATGGTCATCTCCGCTGCGGTAGCAAACTGCGCACATTTCGTTGTGAAGACTTCGAAACGGGTCACCAGATGGGATCTTGCGAAATGTTTCCTTCGCTCCGAAGAACTTCTGTGTCTTGGTGACATCTTCAAACTCAGAAATGTCATCTTCATACTTCTCCTTGAGGTTTTCCCGAAGTGTCTTCCGCTGCCGGGTTGAAAACCGCGAGCCTGTAGGTCTTGGGGCAAAGTCGCTTTCCATATCTGAGCCACCCGAGTGTGTCTTAGCTTGTTTGCGTCTCAAGCGCCTCTTCTTGGTAGTTGCCGTAGACGATATAATCACGTCGTCACTCGAAGGAGACCCAGAGCGAGATTCCTCGTCCTCACTGCTCATACGGCTAAAGAAATCCGTGAACTGAGTATTCCTAGCTCGAGTAGAGCGTCGCCTTGCCCCAGACTCAGATGAAGTATATCCCTCTTCATTGGACGAGGAAGCCATGCTGGGCGGAGCCTGTAATGAGCTTTCGTAGACTTGTTCTGTATTTTGGAAACTTGTGAGGGCTTCGGGTCCGTTGCTTAGGCTCTCAAGTCGAGAGGACGACATCTATATGGAACCCAATACCAGTAAGATAGAGGCTAAGTAAAGGTTGTGTGAGAGAAACATTGTACTTACCGTTTCAGTTTCTCCACTGCGCAATTTAACTAAATAGGAAGATTCCTTTGTAGTCTCTATTGCCTCACTTATGACACAACGAACATCAAAGTGTCCTGGGAGGAAATCATATTCATCACTATTAGATATTTTCGGAATCTCTACCGCTACCTGTATTTTGGACGGCCCCGATGAGCCTTGAGGTATTTGGGTATGAGACTTGTGCTGAAATTGTGACAGGAGGTCTGCAACAAGATCCTCGTTCAATTGAGATGCGATTTCTTCATCCATCTTGGGTATTTTGCACCCTGTGGTACTCTCATACAAACTCACGATAGCAGGTACACTGATAAGGAAGAGAGGAAAGGTACCTGAACTTTGAGGTCGCTGGTAATTGACACATAAATGACAGAACACAAATGAGAATGTTACAAAAAAGGAGCGGACTGTTGAATATTCTTCACTAGGGAGCAAAACCAAAAGAATGGATCAATCGCCAGTAACACAACTGTTCAACGGAGGATCTATCAAATTTCCCAACTGCGTAATATTGCATCTAAACGCGACGCGCGACCGGTCGGATTAATGATAATCCTCTTATCTTATCGGACCTCTAGCAAGCTCCCATAGCAAAAAAAAAGAAACACCAGATGGGCGAAGCTAAATCATGCATCCAACGGCAATAGCTTTACGTGCAGAGTCTCTTATTATTGGTATCTCTAATTACTTGCAATGTCTCGTCGTTCGCTATTGAAACCCTTGCATTCATATATGCGCTTATCTATAGCTCCGTCTATTCACCTGAATCATGTGAGACGTGCTTCACTTAACTCGGCCATTGGTCGTGGTATCCGCAAGACCCGGGGCTTCGATGGTCCACCTTCGTCGCGAAATTCGTATGATTCTGACTTTGAACGGCCGTACAGAGAAAGGAGGGACCCCAAACCGAATAGAACCGAAAAGAAAACCCAGGGCAGAAATTGGCTCGACGGTGACTTAGATGAAGATGAATTTATTAGGACGGGAAGTTTCCGCGCACTGCCTCGTGAACACCAACGCTTCCAGAGCAGTAAGAGGTTGTCGAAGAATGAAGCCAGGGGATACGATGACCGTGAGACTAGCGACAGACCTCAGGACAAGCGTCACCCTCGCCGAGCGGAGCCAGCTAGACACCACCGTGCCACGGAGAGAGTACCAGAGCGGGTAAAAGAAAATGTGCAAGTCCCTGACGCAATCCCATACACGACACCGGCATCGGAATTCATCTATGGAACCAGCGCAGTGGAGGCTGCACTACGCTGCAGCAGACGTCGTCTGTACAAATTGTATGTGTATCAGGCCGCTGGTGAAGAACTAAGCCCTGCCAAGGTTGCACTGCGCAAATTGGCGCTTTTGAAAAATGTCAAGGTTAAGATGGCCTTCGGTGGATGGGACCGGCTTCTTGACAAAATGAGTGCTGGTCGACCTCATAATGGCTGCGTCCTTGAAGCGTCACCTCTGCCAAGATTGCCTGTGAGGGGCTTGAAGAGTGTTCCATCCGTCAAGGAGGAGGATTTCGGTGTGGAATTGGGCGCTCAATCACGAGAAGAAGCATTGGTGAATAGCACGAACGACAAGATTAAAATTCATCATTGGGATCACAGAGCAAGGTACCCTGTTGTATTATTACTCGACGGAATTGTGGATCCTGGAAACCTGGGTGCTATCATTCGCTCCGCGTATTATCTTGGTGTCGATGCTATTATATTCGCTGGTCGAAACTCGGCACCTTTGTCTCCTGTGACAATCAAGGCCTCGGCTGGAGCAGCTGAAAATATGTCTCTTCTCGAAGTGAGCAACGAAGTGGATTTCATCCAGCGTTCCAAAGCCAATGGATGGAAATTTTACGCGGCAGATGCCCCAGGTCCAGCTTCCAAATATGTGGACACTACTTCTATTGTCGAGGGTAAAGGTACTACCGAAGGGGGCCATGTTAGCACCCAATCGCCTTGCGTTATTATGATGGGGAGCGAGGGATCCGGATTGAGTCGTCACATTAAGTCGCATGCGGACTCTATCGTGAGCATCCCTGGAGCCAGACTTGCTACGCCCCTTGGTGTTGAGTCTGACCCTTCTAGAGTGGACAGCCTTAACGTCAGTGTGGCAGCGGCGCTGCTGATGGAAATGTTTCTACGTGTACCACTTGCGGTGGCCGATGTGCCTCCGAAGAAATCTCGGTGAGCCTGAATCAGAATGATAATAATGACAGCTTGTATATATATCACTTGTACATTAGCATAATTCAACCCTATGGACAAAACTCAGAATCTTCATATACAACAACATTCATCTAGGAAACCTTCCCATCATAATAGTAATACTTAGGCTCAGCTCTTATTCTACACTTCCGCTTTGGCCTGCACGGCACCGAATCGAAGAGAACCGAAATCAAATATCTATATCATTCGTTCTGTCAGAAGAGTATCCAAGGGGTGTTTGGAGCATGCAACTCACCGCATATAATCCCTCCAAAAATGCCCCACCAAGAATGTCAAAGTCGAGCGATCCACGACTCTGAATACCCCCATATATGTAGCCAGGTTTGGCTTCAGCAAACATCAGACTTTTCTTTAGCATAGCGAACGATTTCTCCCCTACTGCTAATTGGACAACTGGTAGCTGGTCCACATTGACGTCAGATGGGATGAGAAAGCCTTGGCTTTCACTATCATAGAATGCACCTGGGATAGAATCATAAATGGCTTGACACGTTTGGTCATCAAGTAGAGTCAATGCTGCATCGGTATCGACAATAGCCTTGTTCTCAGATCTATTAATGGCATTTTCCCCAACCGTTGTAGAGGGGGACTCTAACATCCAATAGCCTTGACTATTGTCAATAGGCGTATGATGGACATCATGGCCACAATAGCGCACGGCATCCTCGTCGATGGAGCCAAATGTGTAAAATGGCTTCTTTACGTCAGAGTCGCCCCAAGACCCAAATTTTGCTGTGAACAGCTTTGCAGATTGCTCGAGGTCGTCTCCAGTACTCAAGCGCTCAGCCAGGGCCTTGATGTCCTGCTGGGGATGATTGATATGTCCAAAGGCCAGCCCCAGAACGCCATCTGCTGAAAATTGGGTGAACATTGAGGACATGGTTTTGGCAAGCTGAACAGGCTGTGTCTTGAAGGCCACTCCCCCAATGGTGATATCTTCCGTACCGATGGAACCAGACACCGAGGAGCCATCCACATAGGATACTTTCCATGGCGAATCTTCAATATCTTTAAATGTGCTCGACTTTTCAGGATCAAAGGCATCGCTCTCCTCCTCACCATGGGGTAGTGTATCTGAAGAGAGCTCACTAGATCGCACCTGCTAGTGTTAGTAAGGTCGATTTTGTCTTTCTCCTATTTTGATTGATATAGATATATCTTACCCAAAAGTCAGCAGATGCTGTATCCAAGACCAGGTTCAAAGTTTGAGCCGGGGTTCCGATGCTCACGGGTAAGAAGAACCCTGCGTCATTTTGGATGTCCTTCTTCTCAACCTGTTGGAATTGGTCGTCCGAGATCTGTTTTCGCATCACGTCGTGAAAGCGAACTCGGCCGCCGATAGGCTTGTCAGTGAAGGGCCGGCCAGTCTGATGAATAGCTCGACCGATAGAAAAGGGGCCATTTTTGGTAGGGTGCAAACGGTATTTGCGTATCAGATGCACATAGGACTTGGTCCCAGATTTGGAGTAGTTTGGATTCTCAACAAGGAAGATCTTGGACACCATGGTGATAATAGTCGCGTTTTCGTCCGTTCGAGCGAACTCGTGAGGTAGCCTTATACCAAAGATGATGACGGAATGACAATAAGTTTCAAGGTAGCCATCACTGCTGTCTTATTGTCAGGATCCCCACGACTAACTTATCTGCGGATCAGATTCTGGGCACATACCCTGTACGCTAAGGATGATCTACAGTTACAGTGAGAGACCGTTGGTCCAATGAGATTCGACACACGGCAACATTGAGGGGTCAGAATAAATTAGTAGCTGCGTAAGATAGATAGCATGTTAGTACTAGTACTAAATTCAGTGGCAACGTCACATGTTGCATGGCGAATCAAGCAAGGCAAGTGTCATCATTGCCAGCCGATCCAAATTCCCTGTCATATGATCAATGGCTGCCTGAGGATATTCCGCAGTTAATACAGAACCAGCTGATGGAAGCTCCGCATTAGGAAGTATTCTATTGCTTTTGTATACATTTCAGATACCGTACGCATGGGTACAGATAGATAGCTATTGTGTTACAGAGAAAGATATGACAAGAACCGTGAAGCGACATCATCAACAATGGCATCTATGGGCCAACGCCAGACCGACTTATATTGAAAAAGAACCAAACCCCTCGCATGGCCAATTACCTTCCCAAGCACTGCAGAACAGTCGTAGCAATATTTAGCTGTTTAACAACTATCGAGCACGGTAAGAATTACTTCTTACGACTTTTTGCCTTTGGTGCCGTGTTGGACGAGACACTAGCTGCCCGCGACGTCGACGTAGAATTGGCTTTGCTGCTACCTTTAACAGCCTTGACCTGCTTGTTCTATGAAACCATACACGTCAGTTGAATACGTCGGGAATTGAACAAGACCAAACTTACCACTGCGCCGCCCTTGTTCTTCTTTTTAGCCGGTGCTCCATCATCGTCGTTTTCAGCATCCTCGTCGTCTCGATCACGTCCACGACCCTTGCCAGACTCGCCATTGGCTTTCTCGTCCGCAACTTCAAACTCCTTTGCAACAGTATTCAATAGTGTAGTACAACGGCGTCCGATTTCCACGGGCGTTCGGCTTAGGAAGAACCAGTCGAACCGGAAGAGTGGGGACTCGCGGATTTCATCCCGGATTTTCTCGTACAGTCCCTCACCATCCACCCCGTACTTGTCGAGCATCACCAGTAAAAACCGATCCTCTTCTTCGGTGTACACCTTCTTATTAGTGGTAGACACCGTGTAGTTGATCTTGAGTTGCTGAAGAGGAACGCGGTACATCTCCATCTTCTTGCGAAGCATTTTACGTTGATGGTTCATCTTGCGCAGCTTCTCCTCTCCCTGCTCAACAACGCGGAGATATTTAGGGTAGTCTTGGATCTCGGTGTACCGCTTCCAAAACACCTTGGCGTATTCCTCAACTTCATCTGGTTCTTTGCTATCCACTTCTGTGGCGATCCCAACATAATCAGTGCGTCCGAATTTGGCCGAACCATTAACAAACTGCTGGAAATCACGGCGATTCCAGGTTGAAAAACCTTCTTCTGACATTTCAGCCTTCTGCGACTGCTCTTCTTCCGTCAATGGCACCGCATTGTCTATTTCTTGCTGCTCCAAATCGCGCTCGGCTTCACGCTCACTAAGTTCCTCTTCAGGCCCATCAGGGAGTGGAACTTTATAGCTAATCTCTTTGTGGAAGTAGGCGGTTTCTTTCTCCTGGAGTTCTTGGAGTCCCGGAGGGAAGAACTGCCAATCGTGAACAGCAATTTGCTTAGGTGCCCGAGGGACCTTCGGTTTGGGATCAGCCGTTCTTCCTCCAGTAGCTAGCGCTTGGCGATAGTATTTGTCAATAGAGTAGAATTGCTCTTTCCGTTCGCGCTTTGCCGGGTTAATCCAATTGAGGCCGATGTCCTTCTTGCGATCTGTGAAGTCCTTTCCGTTCCATTCGTATGCACTTTCGGAGCTAAACTTTTGCAAATCATCGATACCAAGTTTCTCATATTTCTTGCTCAGCTCTGCAGTTCGCTCCTCACCCTTGCGTAAAATCGCATCGATATCATCATCGGAAATTTGTTTATCGGCATTAAAAGGTGCAGTCGAATTGTCATTGCTGAACACGTTCGCAGCTCCGTGCTGGATCATGCCAAGCAGTTCCTCCTTTGACGCGGCGTTCTTGGTCTGCTGCTGAGCACGGCCTTGTTGAATAACAAGCTGGTCTAACCGTAGCTTCTGGGCTGCACGTTCCAAGACCTTCTCTTCAATCGCATTCTCTGTGACAAATCTGAATACAACCACTTGCTTTGTCTGACCAATACGATGAGCACGGTCCATGGCCTGCAGATCAGCCTGGGGGTTCCAATCACTGTCGTAAAGGACAACGATATCCGCAGTTGTCAAGTTAATACCGAGACCTCCCGCCCTAGTGGTAAGCAGGAAGACAAACTTGTCCGATCCTGGCTTGTTGTACTCGTCAATTGCAGCAATTCGATCCTCATGCGCTGTCGTGCCATCGATACGGCAATAATTGTACTCTCTGAAAACACAGTAATCTTCCAAGATATCAAGCACACGGCTCATCTGGGAGAAGATAAGAACACGGCTTCCCTGTTTCTGCATACGTGCCAAGAGCTTGTCTAAGATTGACATCTTGCCGGCGTTGTACACAAGATGTTCATCCGTTGTATAAGGAGGGCCCGGCTCAGCTCCTTCAAAAAGATAGGGGTGATTACAACATTTGCGAAGTTGCATGACAATGTTCAAGAGACGGGTCTTAGATTCGCGCTTTCCAGCGGCACCGTTGACAGCGTCGATATCCTTCTCAAGAATCTTCTGGTACCACTTCACCTGCATCTCTGACATGGGTACATAAAGATTGACCTCCTTCTTGGGAAGCAAGCTCTTCTCTACGTCGCTCTTAACACGGCGGAGAAGGAAGGGTCGTAGCACTCGGTGAAGTTGCTGGACAACGGTGTCCTGGTCAGACTCTTGGTTTGAGAACCATTGATCGAATGCCTCCGAATCGCCAAAAACATCCGGCAAAAGGAAGTTTAGAAGGGCCCAAAGCTCATGGAGGTTGTTCTGGAGTGGAGTACCAGTGATTAGCAGACGATTCCGGGAATGGAACACACGAATGATCTGTGCGAGTGACGATTCTTCGTTTTTGATTCTATGGGCCTCATCAATGATGATGTACTCCCAAGCGAACTTCTTAAGATGAGACTTCTCCCGAAGAACCATTTCGTAACTGGTGATGCACACATCGAAGTTCTCATCAAGAAGTCTTTCGTTTATTAACTTATGACGCTCCTCCTTGTCTCCCTGAAGAACAAGAACATTAACTTCAGGTGTCCATTTGTGAAATTCGCGTTTCCAATTATCGAGTGTTGATTTCGGTACAGCAACCAGGTGAGGTCCTGTAATGTCGCAGACATGTCTGAGGTACCCGAGGAAAGAAATGGTTTGAAGGGTTTTACCCAAGCCCATCTCATCGGCAAGGATACCAGAGATCCCATTCTCATGTAGAGAAACAAGCCAGTTCAATCCAGCAATTTGATAATCTCGCATTTCCCCATGAACGAATGGCGGGGATTCACGAAAGACGGTGCCGGTTTCGCCGCCGCTCTTCTCATCCTTCAATAGCTCTGCGTCTTCCTCTTGTTCCGTCCTGCGACGCCTGTCACCACCCGCACCGCCTGACCGTGACGAGCCTTTTTTCTTGGCCTTTGCCTCTTCCTCATCATTTTGCCGGTCTATCTCAGCCATTATTTCTTTGATCCGTGGGTTGGGGTTGGTTTCGATGAAATGGCGAAACAAGTCGGTAAGCCCGAGGAGGTAACGGAATCTCCGAATCGAATCATCTTCCTGTAGTAGACTGCCATAAGAAACTCCAGCCGCGACAAGTGATATGACAGGTGGACTACTGTACCTTTGACTCGTCCAGACGACCATGCTTTTTACCCAGGATGCTCTTCCTTAGATGAAATGCCTCAGATCGCTTTCTTCGGCCGTCGACGGGAACTGTGTCGCCTGCAACACTGCTTGCTGTGGTGTTTGGGTTTGTATCCGAATCCTGGTTCGCACCGGTTAGCCTGCATGTTGGGGAAGTGCTGATAAATCGCGTAGAATGTACCGTATAGTCTGGAGTGTCCTGGTAGCCCTATTTGAAAAGTAAAGTTAGCATAAACCCAAGTCCACTAATATGCATCGCTTGTCAATGCGCGAAAGCCAGAGCTAGTCCGAAAGCGATTTGACCGGGTCCTGTCACCTACCCCCATTTGCGCGTCATCTACGGGTACCGACGTGACGGGTTCATCATTTGCATCTGTCATGGGAGTATCTGCTTGAGAGGGTGTTTCTGAGGTGGGGGCGAACGAAGGCGCCATATTCATTCTGGGCGCACTCAGCGCAAATAACTTGTGTTATGTATAGAGCCGAACACGCCTTGCAAGCGCTCCGAAAGCACGACAGGAGGTAAACTGAGTGGGGAAGCTAAGACGTTGATTGCCCACCGTTGTGAGATCAATTGGGGTGGGTATGGGATTATGGAGGGATTGATTCCTAGTATGTAACAAGGAGTGGGAATTGAACAATAAAGGTTGATGAAAGAAGTAGCACTCGTCAGTCGCGCCGGGATGGCAAATGGAATTTCGTCGGGGAAGCGCGGCCGTCCTACGCGCTTATTGGACAAGGAGTGCGAGTGCTCTACTTAGTCATATATGAGTCATCAGTCGGCGGAAGAGAAGTTTCCCCGCTGTGGGTCACGTTACCGGGACAAAAGCAAAGAAAGATCACCTGCACAAGTATCATCACTGATCATCGTCACCAGGTTTCCTTGCTTCCTTTCAACCTAATCCCTTTCACTACATTTTCCAATTTTCCGTGGGGTGCGACCTGGTTTTCAGTTTTAATTGGTCTTGTTTTTCTTATCTCATTTCTGTCTTAGCTCCGTATTTGTTGGTATACTTTCAGGGAGCACGGTTCACCTCGCCCCTCCCAGTGGCGCCAACCGCATATTGTTTTGAAGTTAAGGAGAGATATTTGCACAGCTGCTTGATTTGCAGCACAATCTACCATGGACTCCATGAGGTCATTGAACACATCGCTACCTAGCTCGACTCCTCGCACTCAACCTCCTGAACAACTTTTGCAATCGTTCAAAGCGGCCGCGCTATCTGTTACCAACCTTTATAAAAATGCAGTCTACGAGCAATCACAGGCGAAGCAAGCTGGCTACCAGGAAGCAATTGAAGACCTACTGCAGTTTCTAGACAAGGAAGGCCTTGGCCTTGCTGGGGGAGAAGGTTCAAAAATCCGACAATGGGCGGCTGAAAGGAGTGATGGAACCGGGACTCCGAGCGACGATGACGAGCCTGAGAAGCAACCTCGAAGCACTAGTCCCGTTGCTACACGCAAGGAACAAACCAAGCCAGAAGCCGCCCGACAGCCAGTCAAGTCGACCTCGACTGACGACTCCGTTGCTACACAGCAACAGCCCCCACTTAACAACTCTCACGTCGCCGAGGCAAACACACTTGATAGACCGGCAGTCTTTACTTTCTCCGCCGGGCCTACATACCCTCCATGCCAAGAACCTGATGTAGATATGCAATCCTCCGACAGCTCGACAGCCTCATCTCAAGATAGTTCACCTGTGAGTGTATCTGTTCTTCCTCGGACCTCTCGACAACAAGCCCGACACAACAACTTCTCACGGACGAACCCTCGAGCATCCACACGGGAACCTTCCGTCGGTGCGGGCTCAAAACGAAAGTTTGCAGTTCCCGATTTTTTCGACATATCGGGGCTAGGGAATAGGGATATATTTGGGGGCGGCAAACGCGGCCGCTTCACCTAGAGAATATAGTATCGACGATTGGACGAACCTCATATTCTTATGGTAACGCAGCGGTTTGATTGATTTTTTGAGTTCACGGTGCATTTGGAGGGAGTCTCGCATGTGGTCTTCTTTTGGCCACCTCTTGTTGTCTTCATTTTCCAGCCTTTTGTCTTCATTGCTTTCCTGTTTTCTATAACGGTTAAACATATAGAGGTTATCAGATCTGGTGATACCCGGTGGGGCAGCTCTTGTGATACTTGTTTCGTGTAATTCTTCACCTTTGTTCATCCCTTTCCCTTCATTTCTTCTACATGCATATATGACGACGCTTAGACGATTGTTCTTGTTCTCGTTCTCGGTCAGCTCTAATAGAACAAGTACTACTGGAAGTCAAGCAGGACACAATCTTGTATCAAGGCTACTCTATTGTTTAATTAAAAGCCCTGTAAATACCCATTCCCACCAGTGTGGCGGAGATAGTCGCAATGCCTAGCCTCCGCGAGCCCATTTTATATTTCGTAGCGCCTTGCATGACCGCGCGCTCCTGCTTCTGCAAATTGCTCATTCCCGTATAATAGCTGTAGACACCGAGGCCAATAAATGCGGCGGAACCTGGTTACATTGCGCAAGTGTCAGACGACATTTCACTGGCTCATTTGCACTTTTATATAAACAAGTATATATGATAAAGCTGTAGAAAACTAACCTGTGACCCTGCAAGCTGTGCAGTCGTCATATTGGTCTTCTGCCAGTAGACGTTTAGCTTCTTTGGACTCGACATCCCAAGCGCGGCCGTTATTCTCCGAAGTTGAAGACATTGGAATCGGTTGGTTGGTTGGACGCTAGTTGCAGCGGAGTAGTACAGTAGGTATTATCGAGTTTCTCGGAAATTATAAAACCGTATCCCTAGCCAAGACAGGGCAACTGATTAGTGACTCGAAAGCAAAGAACTGCCTTGAATTTCAGTGAGAGGAATCTCATCCATACAAAAGAAAGGCGGCAACCAGCGGCAGAACCCGCGGACAATTTAGAGATGTCATTAAATGAGCGCAGCCCCATGTCGTTGCTTCTCCCCACCGATAAAGGAACCAGACAGATCGGCATGATGAGCGGGGAGATTGATGCGCTCTATATTTTCGACGAGCATAAGTAAGCTTATTTTCCGATTTACTTTAACATCTGTTCTACGAGAACTGACTTATCGATCCACAGTAATCCTCTTGTAGAGCAGGTCTATCGCTCCCGTCCGCCCTCCGCAGCTACTATCCTACCCCTCTACCTCGCGCATCCAGCTCCGCGGCCGTCACTCCTTTATATTCCTAATGTTACGCCCCCCGTGACCGTTTTCTCAATTGTTCAGTCAAACTTACTCTTTCTGGCGCTTTCCGAAGTCGATACAGAGCCACTCGTTGCACTAGAGTTCCTACATCGCGTTGTGGATGTACTTGAGGAATTCGTTGGAGCACCATTGATTTCACATAAGATACAGGCAAACTATGAAGTGGTTGCACAGTTACTCAATGAGATGTGCGATGCAGGCGTTGTATGCAATACAGAGTTAAATGCGCTACAGGAGGCTGTTGAAATGCCGGGGTGGATGGGGAAGTTGTTGGGTAATGTCGGGTTGTCCGGGTGAGTCTCTCATATTTAGTCCTATTTGGTCTTGTATAGTATTGTCGTTTAGGATTACCTACGTATTTCATACTAACATGATTACCTTCGAAGATCCTCTACGCCTATCTTAGGACCTCCGAATACGCTCAAGCGGTCAATCTCAGCCAATGCGGCGACTCAAGGACCTGCGATACCATGGAGAAGATCTGGAGTGCGGCACACTTCTAACGAGCTATACGTTGACATTATTGAATCGCTGTCGGTCACGATGGCGCCTTCAGGACGATTACTCTCTGCCTTAGTGTCCGGCACCATTGCATTCACGGCCAAAATATCCGGTGTTCCTGAATTACAGCTTTCCTTGACGGCTCCTGGTGGTCAGCAGGCCATTGCACGAAAGCTCGAGTTACCCGTTTTTCACCCTTGTGTACGACTGGCAAAATGGCGAGAGCGGCCAGGGGAATTGAACTTTGTGCCCCCGGACGGACGGTTTATTCTTGCAGGGTATGAGGTCGACCTTCTACCCATTGATCCCAGCCTCGACCAGCCACCAAGTCATATGGAGAAGCTCTTTCTGCCCGCCATTGTAGACATTCGTAAATCTCTCGGCCCGACCGGCTCCGATTTCGAAGTCCGCTTGATTCTCAACACAAATTTCCCGGGTTATTCATCCTCAAACCGGCCTGGAGGACGAAATGGCTCCGGTACGTCGACGCCGTCGTTTCTTGGAGGAGGCGGGAACTCCTCGGGCCCTGTCTTAGAAGATGTTTTGGTCACGATACCTATTCCAAAATCAGTCCGGAATATCACAGACATGCAAGCCAGCCGCGGTGACGCGCTCTTCTCCCCTGGTAACAATGTCCTTGAATGGCGAGTCCCGACCAAAGACGCTGGAACCGTCTCGGGCACCGCAACCCTCCGTTGCACCGTGGCCGGACATTCAACCGGTGACGATGACTTCGATGAAGAAGCCGAAGAAGTCGACCCGGAAGCAAACCTCCTCCAAGGCTACTACGACGCCGAACCCTCAACATCCTACCAAGCCCCCGAAGAGGAGACAACGAAGCGGAAAACAAAGAAAAAGAAAAAGAAGAAGGTCAAGAAGTCCTCTCGCGCCGCCCCCGCCATACCAGATGCAGACCAACCGGAGATAGCCCAAGAACCATCCCAACCGCAATCCCCGACACCTCCCCAGCCTTCCCCTTCACCTCAACCACAGACACAACAACCTCCAACCGACGACGCCTCCCGCTCAATCTTCCACACTACACAACGCAAAACTAAAGCCCAGTTGAACGCAACCCTCATGCCTAACTCTGCCGCGGTGTCATTCTCAGTCCGAGGCTGGCTCCCCTCGGGGATCAAGGTGGACAGTCTGAATATCGACCCGCGACGAAGTCGTGGCTTGGGCGAGACAGTGAAGCCCTACAAGGGAGTAAAGTATTTATGTGTCAGTCGAAAAGGAGTGGAGAGAAGATGTTGATATATATTATTATCATTCTCTTATTTTTGAATTTTTCTTTCTTTCTTCTCATTGCTGCACTTTGGCTACATGGATGACAATCTAGCAAGGATCTGATATGGATGATAAGCATTCATCATTCGCATGATACGGATAATGATACTTGACATACGTTCAAATAGAATACATAGAACTAGACTCGTGATGAAAGTGAAAGCAGTTTGTAGGTTAATACTACCTAACCAGCTAGCTCGAAGATTCTGAATAAACCTCGTTTGTATAACGATACACTTTCGAAAAAACTGACGACGCTACCTAACCAAAATATTATATATCCGAATCGAGAATATCAGGTCACATTAAAGCTTCGAAGCACGGCGTTCAAGAACCTGAAGCACGAAGTAGGCCACTAACCAAAAGCAGATTGTGAGTAAGGTCATCATAAATGGGTATTAGATTAGTAGATGGATGTAGAGTGAACAAAATGGTATCTCAGAAGGAAAAGAATATAACAAGGAAATGGAGGGGGAAAGAATGGAGGGAAGGAATGGTTGTACAGCGTTCATTCTCTGACTGGAGAGGCACGGACAGTAAGAATTCGGACGTTGCAAGCATCGACATGGGGAGATATGAGGGAGGCCGAGGAGGGGTAGTCAAATCTGTTGGGTAATTCGACGGACGAGACGGAAATAATTACTCACCAGCAGCAACAACGACGGCTCTGCCAGCACCAGCCTTCGCAGAGCCTCCGCCGAGAGTGAGGATGTAACGCAGCCAGCCGAATCGGATCTTGTTTCCGTTGCGATCGAAATCGGGTGCAAGAGTGCTGGCGGCCTTGAACTTGCTCAGTTTACCTGCGTATGGGGGGTAGCGGATCGAGAGGATGGATTCAAGCCAGCTGGGTGTGCTGGTGATGGGACGACGGTGAACGAAGACGTCGAAGCTGGCCTTACCACGGTAGGCGCCGTGACCACTTTCACCGACACCACCGAATGGGAGGGTAGGGATGTGCAAAGCAGCGTCGTTGACGGAGACACCACCAGAGCGAGTAGAAGAAAGAACTTGTAAAGCGTCAGACAATTTCAAGCAATAATAGAACGAAGGCGTGCGGGAACATACCCTTGTCAGTATCTGCCTTAGAGCCGAATGGGTAAAGGCCCAGAGGAGTGGCCTGAATTCCATTAGCAATGTCGACTGCCTGTTCGAGGTTGTCCACGGGCAAGATAGGAATCAAAGGACCGAAGCTTTCTTGCGTCAGCATCGAATCATCAACAGAGTCTACCAGAACCAAGGTTGGCTCGATGAAGCGCTCCTTTTCGTCCATTGTACCACCCATCAGAATTTTGCCCTTGGTATTGTCGAGCATTGACTTGATGCGATGGAATGCACCTTCATTGATGATGCGAGAATAGTCTGGCGACGCTTGGCACCCTGAGGATAGAATTCATTATAAGCTTTCTTGAATTCTTCTATCACGGCAGGCACGAGGTCCTTGTCAACCAGCAGGTAGTTTTGGGAGGTACAGATTTGGCCAGAATTCATCAGTTTACCCCACAGAAGTCTCCGCGCAACGAGTCTGGGGTTGGCGCTCTTGGTTATGATGGCCGGGTTGATACCACCCAGCTCCAGCACGACGGGGGTCAAATGAGGAGCAGCCGCCTTGGCGATGATACGGCCTACGGTGGCGCCACCAGTGAAGAAAATCTTATCCCATCGCTCAGCGAGCAAAGCTTGGGTCTCCGGGATACCTCCTTGAATAACAGTATAGCAGGATGGATCGAGGGCTGCCTCAATGATGCGTTGGATAACAACCGCAGAGTTGGGCGCATTCTCACTAGGCTTAATCACAACAGTATTACCAGCTGCGATAGCGCCGATGACTGGGCCGAGTGTCAATTGGAAGGGATAGTTGAAAGCGCTATTTGGAATATTGTGTTAGTATGTTTCCGCAAGCGAAGAGTTCAGGGCCTTCGGGTTCGGATTATAGGGGCCCGGGGGGGGGGGGGGGGAAACTCACCCAATAACCAGAACACAACCCAATGGATCCTTCCGAATCTTAGGATTCATGAATTTGAAGGACAAATCAATATCTTCGGCTTTTTCATCCTTGGCCCACTTGTGCAAGTTTCGCGTCACGAACACAAGGTCATTCTGCAGCCATCCACTCTCAGCGATCTCGGTCTCGAAGCGAGGTTTACCCAAGTCCAAAGCGGAAGCATCGGCGATCTCTTGCTCATGGTCCTTGACACTGTCAAAGCGAACAAAAAGGTGTCAGTCATACTATGCATTGTGTAGCTCATTGCCAGGAGAGAAAAGCTTACGCCCAGTAGAGCTTCCGGAGCTGTACCAGTCGAAACTCAAGGTCGCGAGTCTTATGTTCCAGGAAAGTCTTACGCAGGGTAGACACGCGACCCGGAATATCCTCGACTGGAGTGAACTGGAGAGGGGGAATGTTCGAAGCGACCATGGTGGCAATCGTTGGTAGAAGGGAGAGGACGGGGAGTGGCGTCGGAGAATGGATGCGGAGACGGGAGCACCGCTAGTACTAGTACTAGTATAGTAGTATGAGCTGATCAGGTGTTATCGCTTGCCCTGAGAGCTTCAAAGGAGAGACGATAGACGGAATGGAATATCTTGGTAGCCAAGGGGATAAAAGAAAATCATATATAGTTAAGCCATGCTTACTCTTACTCTTGATTACGGAGATAGTACTAGACTAATCGAAAAAGAATACATCCAAGAGAGTCACATAAGCACCCACATGATCCTTTTCCCCTCATCGGCGTTGACAGCTGGACCGCGGTATTCCTCCCCCTGTCCAGAAAGTTGGGCCGGACGAGCGGTTCCGCACCATTCACCATTCGAGAACGAGCTCCCCTACCAACGTGAGGACTGACAATGAGTGATCAAGACCGTTCTAATATTTCCTCGGCTTATTCTCAACTCAGGGTGAGGACTAGGTGTGTCCAGCTACGGAGGACCAACACCAATGACTTCTTCTCCACTACATTTTAGCTCATAGTCGTTATTCTGTTTAGGTAATGATCGGCATTAACTGGCCATGCGATCGCCGGGACCTCGCAAGGAGTTCTCCATTGGGCGTCTGCTCCAAATCTCCGAAATAAGACAATGGCAAAGTAATCTCTCGACATACTCCACCAATTTCTAAAAAAAAAAAATAATAATGATGATGCTAATAATCAATGTACAGGGTACTCCGTACATACATTCAAATGATGATTCACTTAAGTCTGGTCCAGCCCTCAACCTAGTATAAGCTCGTTCCTGTTCTCTCCAGGCTGACACCAGTAGTGTCCGATGATCCAAGTTCATGTTGCTGTTAACAGTAACTCTATACGAATACCAGTGGAATCAAGGAGTGCAATGCGCTGTTACGCAATCCTGGGTTCGCCTGATATTAACCCAAAACTATTTCTATTGCGATTTACCTACAAGTAGAGCTCTCGTGGCTTTATATATACAGAAAACCAGGGTCTCAGTAAGAAAGACCGAAAACAACAGGTCCCCACCCTGTCAGATAGAACAATTAAGTCAATCTTGCTTTGAAAAGCCCCTTGAGATACTCATCGGGTACAGTCTTAAATCCGACAAGCATTCGCAAAGATCGGAAGTTATCTAAGGGCTGGAGACAGGGATGGTCAAGTTTGATCACTTATCTGGAGCCGCACCAGAAGATTCTCCCGCCAATAATCAATTCCAAGTGGGAAGTCTGGTCGAGGCTGACGGCACTTGGTACCTCGTAATTGACCCCACCATTAAAAACCAGAAAGAGGTTGTCGTTCTCACGTCCGCGGGTCCCATTTTCGGAGGCCGCGGGCCAGGAAGGCTTGAGGTCTTCCCGGTTGGTGGCGGCTATGGCAGGATTGGGACCGCCGAAAGCGAGTTAGGGTTTGATAAGGATTATGATTGTGAAGGTGCGGGTGAGTAATTGAGAATATGCTACCAGTGATTGGGCTAATAGGAAAGGCTGATGAGGTGGTAAGATGAGAGGGACAGTTAAGCACATACCATGCCATGTGGGATCTGGCCCTGTGGAGAAGGCCGCATGTATGATCATACCAGCTCGCTGGGTGGGCTCAGTCGATCTGCGTTTTGAAATGCACGAGGCTATTCAGCCGAATCGACATATACTGATCTTGTATTTCCTCGTGCGAGACTCAGCTGGCACCTTGGGTTGAGCAATTGGTCACCTATATACCACGTATCGACACAGACTGCTTCTTCAACAAGCCGTAAAAATCCTCCCAGGAGGAATGGCATGCTGAAGGGGCAGCCTTTCATGCCATGAGGATATTGCCAATTTGCTGGGCCGTGTGACATGCTCAGTAGTATTAAATGGGACTGGCATGTCGGTGGTGTGGTCGTGTCTATAATGCTTGTGATGGGTATATACCTCGACGTTGAGCTTGGAGAGTCGTGGACGAATATGAGGCAAATACTATGAGACTATGAGATGCCTTCTAGAACCCATACCCCAACCGGGAGCTATCCTAGGCCCACCGGTATCAGCAACTTTAGTTTCAGCACCAGCCTTCTTAGTGCTTACAGTGTAGACACCAGTGTGGGCCACTACTTCCTAAGTAACTAGGTAAGCATGGTTTTAACTTGTCAGGTGAGTTATTATGAGGCCCATTATGTTCAAGGAACCAACGTCGCCTTGTCTGGTGTCTCCACCACGCACATGGGCAACGATTTGCACCTGCTTGAACCAGGTCCGTACCTTGCTAGACTAGCGCTAGTTAGGGCGGCATGGTTTAGAGCTATAGGGTGCTTAGGCCCGGGCCCTCTAGCCTCCGACCGGGCCTACTAACTTAAATACAACGGCTGTTGATTAGACTACGATCATTTTCGATACAATTCACCTGTCATATAATGTGGCATGAGAAAAGAAGAAAGGGCAACTGAACAGTGGATGTGCTCTTTACAGACTTGTGAAGCTCTAAAAAGGCATACAGAATAAAAGAGCTCCAATGAAGACTTGAGTAGAATCCAATACCCTGAAAACAGTTACTATTTAGTCTGTATTTATTATTCATCTCAAAAGTCACTCGAAGCGTTTCGAAACTGCACAGAGAGTACACGCCACTGCTGTGTACCAGAGTATAGATCAAGATACTCGCATCCAGAGCCGCTGTGCTGTCGCAGGGATGCGATAGCTACATCAATCACTTGAGAAAAAGTACACTAGTGTAGATGCCTGAAGAGCCACCCATCACACCTTAGTGTGGAGTTAGGGCAAATACAACCCAGTAGAGCTTTAAGTATCCCGAATAACGTTCCGTAGTATAATCTAAAATACTTGTATGTATATTTATATACCTCCTGCCTACTGAATGACCATTCCTATCCCTTCACATATCCAGCAACCAGCCAATTACTTGGTTCATGACCAAACCCTCGTCGTATAAGTGCATCAGTACGTTACCGAGGTTGTCATCGCCTTCGGACTCTGGGAAATTGTAATATGCCGGTACATTACGGTTGAACCCAGCAAATAAATCTAAAGTTGTGACTGTTCAAGTGTATAAGCTCAATACGTAAATGATGACGTCGCTTAGCAGCGGGTTGGAAATGATGATGTATATTTTAGTATTCACATGCGGGGAGAAGTATTGACAGGGGATGGATGGCTGAAGACGGCTAGCCGCGGTACGCCACGGGGTCGGCAGAATTATTGAACACCTTCCGAGGTCGTTCATCGGATTGTGTATCTTTCGGAGGGACCTTGAACCGGACTTGTAAATGCTCAGATTTTAGTTTTAATTAGCTATAACGAATAGGCATGGATGGTGATTTGTTTCATTCAATTATTATACTGATACAAATTGAGTTAGTGAAGATAGAAGGGGTGCAATTTGCCAATAAAACACCGTTTTCGAGCTTTGAGGTCCAGGATGCCTCACTAGCGCGGATCTATCCCAGACCGCCTTTCTCTTTCGCATCACCATTTCAGTTCAGTCCAACTTGAAGTTTCTCAATAGCCTTGTAGTACGGAATACCGCCAAGAATACTTACTACCAGTACCTAATACTATCTACTCTCTACAAGGAATGAGCTGCTGCACGAAGAAAAAGACGAATGCGATAACTAGATCATGCTATGAAAATCGATCCTTTTCATCAAGGAAGCTTCAATCTATACATCAAAAACTCCTGGTGGGTACTCAAAGTCGGCTAAAAACACAACAAAATCATCAAAAGCGGCTTCTGAGCTGAGCTCAGTGCTTGAACTGATCTTCCGTCACACCCTTGCCCATGGCCGCAGTGCTGCTTACACCGCCGGTGACCATCTTCAGGAGGTTATCCACATAGTTGGCACCACTCCATTTTTGGTGGGTAACCACGTCGACTCCCTGTTCCATCTCCGGCTCTTGGACCAATTCACCGTAAGCGCGCATGCCATGCTTGGAGTAGGCCTTGGCGAACTGGTCAGAAATGAGGGCTGTGGTGTGCAGACCAGCCAGGGTGATGAACTGCCAGCAGTAACCCAGAGCACCCAGGCGCTTGATGTACGTCTCCTGCTCATCGCGAGGCATGGCCTTCTTCCAGTTGAACGAAGGCGACAAGTTGTAGGAGAGTCTAATATCTCTTCGTTAGCATCGGGATATCGTAGGTGTTCAATTGATGTCGGTCTACTTACTTTTGCTCGGGCCAAACCGCGTGAATGCCTTCGGCAAACTCCTTAGCCTGGGCATAATCGGGGAGCTTGCTCTCCATCCAGATGAGGTCGGCGAATGGAGCGTAAGCAAGACCACGGTTGATGGCACACTGGGTGCCACCCTGGAGCCGGTAGTAGCCCTCACGGGTACGAGGAGCATCCCAGTTCCAGTAGATGTCCTGTCCAGTGATGTTCTTGGCGATCGCGCGAGCTTCAAGGTTGCTCTTGCCCTTGGCGGCCTTCAGGTATTGATCAATGAGGGATTGCTTGTTAGAGTGGGCACCCTTGTTGATGACCTCAATGACGGCATCGTTGAAAAGCTTCAGGCCAGCCTGGGCAACCCACTGGTCTTCGATAGACTGGAGCTCGTCTCCCTGTTTTCCAGCTTGTTCGGCTGCCACCATGAGATCTACGAGTGGCTGAAGGTTGGGGTTGGTCGAGCCGACGATGAAGGCATGGTCGCGGTGATCGATGGTAGAGGTGATGAGAGTAGCAGCTTCCGCATCGGTTCTAGCAATGGCAAGAAGGTCGGTGCCTAGGGATAATCAGTGGACAAATTCTTTCTCTACTTCGAAAATCACAATAAGGAGAGGAACACATACCCATGATATCTGCCTGCGCACGGATGGCGACCAAACGGTTGATGTGTTCGCTAATGGGCACGAGAACCTTTCCAGCCATATGGCCACACTTCTTGGTACCAGGGGCCTGGTCCTCAATGTGGATACCAGCTGCACCGCGCTCGACAAACAGCTTGGTCAACTTCATGACCGCGGTCAAACCGCCGTGTCCAGTGTCAGCGTCAGCAATGATGGGACGCAGATAGTCAACGTTTGCCACATTTCCGCGCTTCTCCTTGGGTGTCGTGATCCGTTCCTCACGCTGTTTCCGGTCATGGAACAGCTGGGCCATCCAGAGCTGGTTTACCTTGTTGGGCACAGTGTTCTGAGCCGATTAGCATGGGAGTTATTTAATCCAACATGTTCGAACCGAGCAGAGCTTACCATGGGGTAATCAGCAAGATCGGGAGAGGGCTCATCGGTAGAGGAGGCAGTGGAAGAGCTCTGCCAGCCAGAGACATAGACGGTGTCAAGGTACTTTGCCATCTGGGTGACCATGGTGGGTTCGAGACAGCCGTAGGTGAAGCTAGCAACTTTGTTCTAAACGACAAGATATTAGATACTGTTCCGACTGGTTTCGGCTTGAAGAAAAATACCTCGAAATTGCTCTCCAGAATTTTCCAGAGCTTCTTGCTCTGGACATTCGACGGGTACTCAATCTTCAGGTTTCCACGCTTGGCCACAATCTGCTCTGCTGAGAAAGGGCGCTTGGTGTGTCGCCATCTGGAATCGGTCCACCAGGCCTTGACGGCCTGGACGTCGTCCAAGTACTTCTTGTCCTCGTCCTCGAGATAACCCATGGTGATGAAGATAATAAGGGGCTTTTAAAAGTGGGTAGATATAGAGAGAATTGCAATAATATAATACAATAGGTACTATGGTATAGTTCCCTTGTCTGATCGGAATACTGATAATCAGAAAGAATGAAAATCAAGGGAGAGAGAAAGATTAAAAAAAAAAGTCTGCTATTCAAAAGCTCTAAATGAATCACCAGGCCAAAGCCAAGGTACTTATTGAGTTGCACGCGCCATGAAAATGCGTCAGAGGGCTGGCCTGTCGTTCGGTAAACGCTCGGCTCAGCGGGACAAGAAGGAATGTCACAGAGCTCCGGCTTCGCGTCAACCGGGGGAAAAGTTACTAGGATCGTCTGCAGCCTCCATTGGACTAGGTTTACCGTAAACTAAATTCACAAGCCAATGCCGATGGTCGGGCAAGGTGACTGGTGCTGCGTTCGGAAGAGAGGATCGAGACTTTGGGAAGATCCTCGGTCTAATGGACCTCTGGTGCATTCGCCACTATGAGTACCTGCAGGCCTTATAATTCAGCCACCCCAATAGGAGTCGTTCTGAGATCGCTGACCGGGCATTGACTCATACCTGTATAACGGAAGATACCTTTTGTCTGTAGCAATTGATCGTTTTGTTGAAGATACACGGCGGAACGAATTCCAATCTCTCTGAACTCCTGTAGTATAAAGAAAGTTAAGATGACGTCGGAACATGTGCTTATTCTAGATAACCATACGTGACAATACATGCCACGCAAAAGTGTAACCCCTTCTAGTAATTTCCCGTATTCTACATTACGCAAAACCGATGATTCTGAGTCATCAGAACTCCGGGGTAAAAACAACCCTTCCCTTTCTCTCTTCCCCACAACCACGCATTAGTAACTGAACCACAAGGATCATGCCAACGAGATTGGTCGCTTGCAATTTAGATCCCTGGCACTTCAACCTTCACGGATGACTTTTATCCATCAGTGATTTAGTATACACTCCGCGGGTGTTGCGGAACTGACTTCCAAGTTCGATGTCGATACAGGCAATGTCGGATTAGTCCCAGAGAGGCAAGAACCTCGGTAGTCAGCACACCAATCACGAGCGCCCGTGGTCTCACTCTTGAGATGCACGAGAATGGCCTCGGGTAAATAAGGAGCCATTTTCGTTTCGGTGTCGACTCGAGGAGTCTGTGGTGCAGGGATAATATCCAATATACGGTATATAAATCTTCGGACGTTGACCGAAGAGCCATATCACTTTGATGCAGGAAGCGGGCGAGGGATGAGCTGCGGCTGGGCGATGGTGAGGGGGTTTCTGGTAAATCCCTCGTATAGAACGAATGATATAACCTGAAACTTGAAGTGCAGGTCGATGGCGAATTCACATGCAGGAATTAATATAATATCCATTTGTAGATGTCTTGGAACAGCACTAGATACACAAACACGCCCCCCCCCCCCCCCCCAAATGCATGTGCTAGTCTGATTTATCGTCATGTTGGAGAATTAAATGGTCCGTATTCGGCGTGATACAGAGAGCACTCGAGGATGCTGCCTGACCAGGCTCCTTTACACCCTTAGCGCACAGTCTTCACTCAAGGTCCTCGTCTAAGCACGTTGTCCTATACCATGAGGCGGTACAGATATTAACGCTGCTGTTGTTCAGAGTATCATGGATAGGATATGCTGAACATGAAGGACACATATGTTTCTAGATCAGAGGTCCTATTGACATGGTGGGGGAGGGACTAATAACTCGATGTGTCGCATATCGTTCATGGAAGTCTTTCCTTGCTATTCATCTACTACCTTGCTAGTAGTAGTGAGCGCCTAGACATACCCCACAGGGCTGAATACCATCGCACCGACCAATAGCAGATAGTCTTCCACTACGTAGTACATATCAATCTGGAATACCTTCGAGCTTGCTGGGTCACAGACTCCTGGAAAAAGCTTGTAAAGTTGGATAGAACTCGACTCATTTCAGCTTGATATCTTTCACAGGGTTGAGAACAGTGCCTTCCTGTGTTCGTACAAGATGGGAAGACAACCTGTTCCAGCAGGAATGAGAAAGTTACGCTGATTTTCCTTGTCGATGGACTAGTTTACGATAAAAACGCGCAATAATGCCTATCCTTCTTATGTGCGATGCCAATTCTCAAACGAGAGAAATGCTTTTGGTAACCCATACCATGTTCGCGCATTGACCAGTCAGTGCGCCCAAACCGGGTATTTCAACACAATCGATATTTCTGTGGGGTATCTGTCGAGTCCCGAATACTTCTATAATCGAGCTACCGTCGCCTAATAGGAGAGTGTGCATAGGAAGCAGCCCTAACCCGTTTGAAGGGAATCATCCGCAGTGCCTATGGTTGATATGATCGGGCCCTAACAAAGCTGGAAAACCAAAGGTCTCAGTGAGGAAGAACCTCTCAGCCTTCTCCAATGCCATGGGTGGTACAACAAAGGGGTATCTGCAGGAGAATTGAATTCTCGCTTGAGAATAAGTACCTGATGAGAAAGACGTTTGAAACAGAACCCGAGTTTCGTGGCGACGAAGGCTATGATCGTATGTAGACTTGGGTGTATGGCTGAGATCATTTCATAAGCGCGTTATAGTGCTCACCAAGACCGTACGTATGCCGATAATAGGCCAACCAAATGACACGCTTGCTCTTCTGTTCGTCATCATACTCTTGAGTATCACCTTCGATCTTTTCAATCCTTCCATCACCTTGTATGACGTTGATTTCCACGCCATATGCCCTGGCAATCGCTAATAGCTCCAATTGCCCACCCCACTCCGCTGTAAGCTTGATCTTGCGAGTGTATAGTTCCAAGGGCTCCTCCATGAATGGCACAAAATCATCCTGGTGCTCGTTTATGAAATCGGCCGTTACTGCCCTAACTGCTCTATAGCCATCGTGTTGAGGCGAAGCCACCGTATTAATGCGAGACTGAGTTGGGGTCTCAAGGATGATTCTTTTTGGGTCAGGTTTCAAACCAAGGCCTAGCATTTCCAGCTGGTAGGCAATAGCGGAGTAGAGACAGTGCCCATCGGGTTTTATCTCAACCTGCTTCAACCCTAACCGTTTAAAAACGCCATCCATGACCTCTTGCTCATCTCCACGATGATCTGTTTGTTTTGCGGCTTCTTCCGCGGCAATGGCAGACTGCGCCGCTTGCTCCGCAGCGCGACGTGCCAGACGAGCCTTCTGGCGATTTGGTTTCTTAGGTCGCGGTGACGGGGCGGAGGACTCTGAGGTTGCGGAAAATGTATCCGGAGACTTGTCTATCGATGGAGGGTTCTGTGTGCCATCGGTTTGGTCTTTCTGTGTTTTATCTTCTTCGGAACCATTCAAACTGAGATCTTCGAGGTCATCAACGGGCGGGGCAGGCTCGCCATTTAACTCTGCAATTTCAGTCTGGTGTCGTTCGGATAGTTCCCTCTGAAGCCTGTCGCATTCTTCGTTAATTCCTCGGCGGGTCTTTTTCGTGGCAGATTTCTTCTTCTGAGTGATGCGTGCTTGGAGATCTTTTAGTTCCTTGCGGTGTTTCGCTAATAACTCCTCCATTATTGTTGGAGATATAAAGCAAAAGCAAATCTATCGGTCTAATTGAAAATCAGAACTAGAAGAAGAGAAAAGAAATCCGAAAAGAATGCAGGCTATAAAACTGTGGGAAAAGTTGCTGTTGCTACCCCATCTCAAGATCTAACAGAACTGTTACAGCCCCGCAAACCCTTTGCGGGCTGGGCTGCCCTAGACGGCATCCTAAAAAGGTATAGCGCATTGAATGGAACTGGGTGTTGGTTCAACGCCAACTTGGAGTGATGGCCACAATCTGATATCAAGGTTCAAAGGCCTGCGTTCAAGAATTCCGATAACATGTTCTTGTGATTTCATTGAGGGATTATCATGGTCTTTGATTTTTTGGGCTGATTGACATCTAGAACGACGTCAAGGATCGCATTAATATTTCTCCTGCTCCGGAGGTCGTACAGCCTCGGTATCTTCCGCTCAGTAATCTCGGCCGTCGGATAGCTAGGAGCTAAAGTAGTAGTAGTTATATGGCACGAAAGTCCATTTAAATCTACTCCTGGATGTCCTTGACATTACCCAGACTACACCCACCTTGAATATATACTGAACTCCATTCCTGTACAGCACCCGGATACTTCATTAATAGCTGACAATCTTAAGTGTTTGGTGCTGGTATCATGGATTCCCAAAGCCTTTTCAACGTGAAGGTCAGCAATGAAACTCCAAGAAAGCACCTGAATCCTTACTGAACGCTGTATCTAGGGCAAAGTGGTGCTGGTCACCGGTGGAGCCAAGGGAATTGGTCGCATGATCTCTGAGGGATACGTAGCCAACGGTGCCACCGTTTACATCTCGTCTCGTGATGCCAAGGCTTGTGACAAAGCCGTAAACGAGCTCAATGCGCTCGGCAAAGGAAAGGCACACGCCATCCCCGCCGATTTTTACAAAGAAGAGGATGTTAAGAAATTGGCTGAGGAGCTTGGAAAGCGCGAGAGCAGTACGTTCTTGGCTAGCGCCACCCAAAGATCGCATCCGGCTGGGCTGCCGTCCCAAAACTAACTAATTCACCATTCAGAGCTGCATGTTCTTGTTAACAACTCCGGATCAAACTGGGGTGCTCCTTACGACGAATATCCTTCCTCTGCTTGGACTAGAGTTCTCACTCTGAACCTCCACCGAGTCTTCGATCTGACGAGGCTCGTCACCCCCCTGCTAGAGAAGGCAGCCGCTTCGGGCGACCCAGCCCGCATCATCAATATCGGTAGCATCGATGGTCTTCGCGTCCCAGCACTTGAGACGTTTGCCTATAGTGCCAGTAAGGCCGGTTTGCATCATCTGAGCAGAGTCCTTGCAAACCACCTTGGTAGAAGAAACATAACGTACGTGTTATTTCTGATTGATAAAATGCCCACTAATAGAGTCACCTACAGATCAAACGCGCTGGCTTGCGGCCCCTTTGAGAGTAAGATGATGGCTGCCACTCTTGAAACATATCGGGAGCAGATCGAGGGAAATATTCCACTGGGCCGTATTGGTACCCCCCAAGACGTGGCCGGTGCTTGCTTATTCCTGAGCAGTCGCGCTGGCTCGTATGTGAATGGAGCCACTATCACACTGGACGGTGGTAGCGCTATTGCTGCCAAGCTGTAAGATCTAAGCTAGTTAGCGTAGTACATATCAAGAATATTGACGCCACAATCCTGTGATGAACAAGATAGCGTCCTGTTACAGAAGGTTTAACCTAAAATTCCATTTGCATATCTATGAACCTTTTCTTTTCTTTTTCTGAATCTTCACCTGCAAGCTTATGTACAATGTTCATGCAGATTAAACTTCTAGCCTGGCACGTTTTTCTTAGCGGGCGCCTACCAGTAATTACTATAGTTAGTTAGTTAACTATACTACTGGTATTAGTAAATGCTGAACCCTACTGACATCATCGAGCATCTACTAGTAGTACATCGCTCTGTGCGCATACTATCATGACATAACAGTGTCAACTGAACGGCGCCACATATGCCATAATTGACGGAAGTTCGCGGGAAGTATCGCTAGCCTGCCCTTAACAGGAAAAAAAGCATATCCAGTTGGGAAGGCAAGCCATCAGCCCTTCTGATATTAAGATCGACTTACGGATGACTTCGTTTCGAGCTGAAGTGTCAGGGTGGCTGTACAGGGTGCGCAGCCGATTTGTTTTGAGCTCGACGAAAGTACTGGCCCAGAAAATTCCCTCTTATATTGCTAACGATCATCCACTGGGGTCCGATCTAAACCATAGCGGCGGATCGCGTGGGGTTGAGGCTCGCTGCAGCCGCAATTGGTCTGGATTAATCCCTCAATCTGATACTACTTACTTAACACAATTACCTGGTGCGTTTCACGTGAGCCGTCATATTATTTGATTTTAATATAGATCTATGATTTTATATGCTATTTAAACCTCAAGACCTCGAGGAATTACCCATGGCCCTGTGCTACACTTTTGGTTGCAACAGCTTCACCCTCGGCGATCCTGGCCCCTAGTGTGCCCTAAATATCGATCGTTCCAACATCAATTGTTTTCAGTCAACATGTGGAAACCGCCGGTGAATTTCATCACCTTGCATTGTATGTCAGAAATTTTCGAAGGTATTCTTGAACAGCACTGACTTACTCGCTCATGAGCGTAGATACATATATCATTCTCTGCAGTCTATCGGGGATAGTTATACTTTACCCCTATGGCAATTTGCGCGCGATCGATGCATTCTTTTTCGGCGTCAGCTCTGCCACGGTATCAGGTCTTAATGTGTTGGTCTGACCGTTCCCTATCATCTCTGAAGAGTTATTACGGAGAAGAATGTCGCTGAGCAACTCTTCGTTCAGTGTTGATCTAAAAGACCTAAAAACATACCAGCAACTATTTGTATACTTCATTCCCACTATTTGCAACATGTGCTTCACCAATATCCTTGTGGTGATCGTGCGACTCTACTGGTTTGAGAAACGTTTGAAAGAGACAGGTACTTAACTGGCTCTTGGTACTCATATCGGGGATGTACTGAAGCGAATCATCTGATAGCTCCCACTGCCTTTCGCCCAAGTTCACGTTCAGTGCCCCCTAAGGAGTATGACTATGACCAGGAGGCACAACCCAGAAAACTGAATACCAGTCGTGTCCGGGACTCGGAACAGACTGCCGGAGAGAGAACCAATGTGGACAACGCGCACGTGGAAGGCTCAAGCAAAAGCCAAACAGTGCCAGAAGAGTACGTGGAATCCATCCCTGCACTGTGTTTACAGCTCTTGGTGTGCAATTTACTAAAACTCCGATTTTACAAGTAGACTAACTCACTCGAAGCCTCCAGATGGCCCGGACGCAGATACTATTCAGCCAACTAACCGTCATATCTCCTTTGCAGACAACAACAAGGCTCTATACATTCCTTCTCCACGGGAGCGTGATAGAGGTATACAATCGTACTTTGTCCTGATGACCGAATCAATGCTAATGAAACAAAGGCCAGCCTATAGTAGAGGTAGACGAAAGAGCAAGTAAGGATGGTACGTGAGCTTATTCCTTCTATTTAGCAGGAGCGACAAACAAATGGCTCATTGACATCAGAGATATCGGAATATGCCGAAAACGACGACGCCAGGTCCGAGATTCGCCGCCGGCTAAGGGATACTTCTAACCCGCTCGAACGTGTTGCCTCCTCCCTGTTTGTGCTCGGTTCACAGCCTAGCAAGACTCAAGGCTCTCAGCTTCGCGAAGCTGTCTCCCTATCCAAGAGTTCGAATTTTCCGAGTATTTCAGCTGAAGCCACCCTTGGCAGAAACTCAAAATTCTATAACCTAACTGCTGAAGACCGGGAAAGGTTGGGAGGCATAGAGTATCGGGGTCTAAAGATATTACTCAAGACCGTGCTAGGTACCGATATTACCCTCAAAAGCTATCTGGAGGATTAGACTAACTCTCAAGTAGGGTACTTTTTCGGCCTTCATATAATTGGTGCAATATGTCTAGTAGGTTGGATACAGTATGCTGCTCCAAAGTACCGGGACTACCTAAAGGAATGTGGGCAGAACCATATCTGGTGGTAAGTGCATCACTGAGCAGTATCATACCCCGTATTATGAACCGGGAGTATGGGACTATTTGAAGAATAATCCCATGACATATTGGCAAGGGATCTAAGGGCCTAACGTATACTCATATCTGTTTACTTTTAGGGGGTTTTATGCGGCGCAAACGATGTCAAACAATCTGGGGTTCACGCTCACCCCAGACTCCATGGTCAGCTTCCAAGATGCAACTTTTCCCATGCTGATTATGAGTTTCTTAGCATATGCTGGGAATAATCTTTATCCTGTTTTTCTGCGTCTCATTATTTGGACTACGTACAAATGTACTCCAAAGAACTCGTCACTCAGAGAGCCCCTGGATTACCTCTTAAAGTATCCTCGCCGGTGTTATACGCTGCTCTTCCGTAGCAAACCAACTTGGGTTCTCTTTGGAATTATCTTCGTCTTGAACTTCGTCGATGTTCTCTTGATCGTTGTGTTGGATCTACACAACCCCGCTGTCAACACCCTCCCCGGTGGACCGCGGGTGCTGGCCGCCATCTTCCAAGCAGCATCAGCAAGGCATACGGGGACGGCGAGTTTCAACCTTGCCGATGTGAACCCCGCCGTCCAATTCAGCCTACTAGTCATGATGTACATCTCTGTATTCCCTATTGCTATTAGTATGCGTGCGTCCAATACCTACGAAGAACGTTCACTTGGAATGTTTTCCAGCGATGGCGACGTTGACGAGAGTAACACCACGACTTACGTCCTGTCCCATGTGCGAAACCAACTCAGCTTCGATTTGTGGTACATCTTTCTTGGGATATTCTGTATCTGTGTTGCCGAATCGAATAGGATCATGGATCCTTCTGAACCGGTGAGGTCGTCTTCAATATTCAGATCCAGAGCAAAGGTTGACAAAGAACAGGGACTCACTGTCTTTGCGATCTTCTTCGAGGTTATTTCAGCATAGTAAGCTACTGGGCTCCTGAGACTACTCCAAAGATGTGTTAATGTTTTATAGCGCAAATGTCGGCCTTAGCTTAGGATATCCGGGTGTCAATACTTCTTTGAGCGGACAGCTGTCGACTTTCAGTAAAGTCGTTGTCTGCCTTATGATGATTCGAGGAAAGAACCGCGGGCTACCCTATCAGTTAGACCGGGCTATTCGACTTCCCAGCGAAGGCTTGGTTGATGACCAAGTGGATTCTGGGTCAGACAATCTGTATACGGACGGAAAGTTGGACCCGATGGATGTCGGAGATCTGAAAGTGAAACGGTATCACACCAAATAGCATCGGTTTTGGGAACACACGACGATACATCGCCCGAATAGACACCCATACATGTTTTAAAGCGAATGGATTCTGTAATAGACAGCAAAAGATTACCACTTGGTGGCCTACGGTCCATCCCACTTGACAGTAGAGCGATGAAACCTGGCTAACTAGAGTAGTTAAGCGAAGCACTTAGTAAAGGAAATGTATTGTGTAAGGTAACCCAAGGGAGAAGCCAAAGGAATTCGATAGATAAGACTAAAGGGGGCGCGTGATGTCGCCTGACTCCAATAGTGCTGAATCTATTAAGCAACGTGAAACTTTGAAAGGCCGAGATAAGAATGACAGATAATAAAATCCTCGTGCCCGCTGGAAGGAGTTGGCCGTGCGAATAAGAACCAGCTGCCCTACTTGTTATGATTAAATTAATAAATGGTAGAAAGCTTCTGTCCTTTAATTTTTATGGGTCGGTGGAGCGGTGACATTGGTTATGCCGTCATAGCCTTCCGGTTGGCACTGCTGCTCTGCTGGTTGAACTGTGCAGTTTCTTTCTGGAAGATCGAACTTGGGTACTCTATTCAAATCAATCACGAGTCAGGAGGAGCACGGGATTTTTCTGTTTTAATCATTTCCACACCGCTATCTCTTGGGAAAAAGCAAAGGGGGAGAAAGAGTCGTCCCACGGAGGAAAGGTTCTCGAATAGATTTCAATAGATTCATTCCTTAGTGTTGTGACGTCGCAGGACCCATTTAAATCATACTAAAAAAGGATGCCAACAATCGCACTAGAACTGTGGCCAATTTGCGAAGCGATGCCTATGAATAGTTCTTTATTCTTAAATCAATCGCCCTCACCGTCAACTTCTTTGTCCAACTCTTTTGCTATACCGATACTAGTTACTAAATACCAACCGAATTCTCGAACCGCCCGTTGAATACCGCTTGAACGCCACATTACCGATCTTGCGTGTCCATTGGTTTTGCTCCGCCAACATCCTTGTTCTCCCGAAACCCTTTCATAATATTTTTCCCCCGAATCCCATTGCTCTCTTCCCTACCTTTCGATCCTCCCAGAAATCTTGAGACGATGAGCTCGTCAAATGGGAACCACCGCAGACAGGACTCCATAGACCCGTTTTCTCACCCCGACATCTATTATGGTGACGAGGAAGCCAACGCGCGCATCAAGGATCGCAGACGTGCCTTCTCAACGGTGAGTAGGGGACCCCGGAGTTAAGGCCAACAATGCCAACTAACCATCCCTGGTGTGTACGACAGAATCTGAACCAATTCAATCGCCAGGATATCCAGAATTTCCTTGGGGGAATTCCGGCAAGAAGAGGAAGTCACGGTAGGCGCTTTTCTCCTTATCTGTAGCGATCCTGAGTCAGGTACACTGACTCCCGTGGCCCATAGATGAGATTTCGGCTCAACCCCGCAAATTCCTTATTGATGTCGAACAAACATTGGAGAGCCTTTTGGAAAGGGAAGATACGGACAGGAACATGCAGATAACCATTGAAGATGTAGGACCCAAGGTGCGTGGTTTGGTGGTCCTTTGAGCTCCTCTGCCCCGCCAGGCCAATACTAACCCGGGATCTAGGTGCTTTCCCTCGGGACCGCAGCGTCTTCCGGATACAATAAATTCGATGTGCGAGGAACGTACATGCTTTCCAACCTCCTGCAGGAACTTACCATTGCTAAGGACTATGGCCGCAAGGTCATTGTCCTTGACGAGGCTCGTCTGAGCGAAAACCCGGTCGCTCGTCTCTCCCGTCTCATTAAGAATTCTTTCTGGAATGCCCTGACTCGGCGGATCGATGGCTCCAATATTGAGGTAGCAGGTCGAGATCCCAAGGATTGGACAGACGATCCACGACCCCGTATCTATATCCCACCGGGTGCTCCTGAGCAGCTGGAGTATTACAGAGGGATTGCTAAGGCACACCCAGAACTTCGTCTGGATGTGCAGGTGCTGGACTCAGATATCACTCCAGAGTATGTGAAGGATCTCAACAGTAAACCCGGCCTTCTCGCTTGGCAATGGAGAAGAAGTACGATGAAACTACCCAGAAAACTGAATATTCCGGGGTGCCATTTGTTGTTCCCGGAGGACGATTCAACGAGCTGTATGGGTGGGACAGTTATATGGAGTCTCTTGGGCTGTTGGTCAGTAACAGAGTGGATTTAGCGAAGTCCATGGTGATCAACTTCTGTTTCTGTATTAAACACTATGGAAAGATCCTGAATGCCAACCGGTCCTATTACCTGCTACGCTCCCAGCCGCCATTCTTGACTGATATGGCTCTGAGAGTGTATGAGCGGATTAAGGGTGAACCCGATGCTCTGGAGTTCCTGCGGACTTCGATACTCGCTGCGATCAAGGAATACTATAGTGTCTGGACCGCTGAGCCACGGTTTGATCCAGTTTCTGGCTTGTCGCGGTATCGCCCTGAAGGGTTGGGCGTACCGCCAGAAACTGAACCAACGCATTTCATCCATCTACTAACACCCTATGCTGAGAAGCATGGCATGCAATTTGATGACTTCGTTCAAGCTTACAATAACGGCATCGTTAAGGAGCCGGAACTTGACGAGTACTTTTTGCATGATAGGGCGGTCCGAGAATCTGGCCATGACACAAGCTACCGTTTGGAGAGGGTTTGTGCCAATATCGCCACAGTTGATTTGAACTCTCTCCTTTACAAGTATGAGGTGGACATCGCTCGTATAATCCGGACTTATTTCAAGGATAGACTAGAGATCCCCCCTGAGTTCCGTACTGAACAGTCGAAGGACATTGCAAGTGAGTCCTCATCTGTATGGGACCGCAGGGCCAGAAGAAGAAAAATGAGAATGGATTCCTATCTGTGGGACGAAGGAAAGGGGATGTATTTCGACTACGACACAGATAAGCAAGAGCGGACTAATTATGAGAGTGCCACAACCTTCTGGACAATGTGGGCAGGTCTCGCCACCCCTCATCAGGCGTCGGAACTGGTCAGCAAGGCCCTTCCGAAGTTTGAGGCTTACGGCGGCCTGGTTTCAGGTACTGAAGAATCGCGTGGTGTTATCAGTCTAGATCGGCCGAACCGGCAATGGGACTATCCTTATGGATGGGCACCGCAGCAGATGCTGGCATGGACAGGACTGCTCCGCTACGGCTACCAGGAGGAAGCCGAGCGACTAGCATACAAATGGCTATACATGATCACGAAAGCTTTTGTTGACTTCAACGGCGTTGTCGTCGAGAAGTATGACGTCACTCGGCCTATTGACCCTCACCGGGTCGATGCTGAATATGGAAACCAAGGTGTAGATTTCAAGGGTGCACCTCGTGAAGGGTAAGATGCCTCTTGTCCTTTAAGGCTCTCGATAGACATCTACTAACAGTGTCTACTTCTAGGTTCGGTTGGGTCAACGCCAGCTTTGTTTATGGGTTGGAGATTCTTAACGCTCATCAGCGGCGTGCCCTTGGGGCCATTACCCCATATGAGACCTACAGTAAAGCTGTAGCAATCCAGAATGACAGCGACTAAGTTATTACGACTTGAACATTGCATGAGGCACGTGTTGTTTTTCTTTCCGTTTTGATACGTTTTGCGGCCGTCATTGCTTCTGAAGGTCCAGAAAAGTCGAGATTTTGGAGTCGGCAACAAAATTATACAGTTGTGATTGCATATAGTGCGGTCTCTTTAAATTTCCTCTTTTCATTACTTTTCTGATTTAATTCATTTCTTTGGGGTTAAAGAGAAGAAAAGGGATGGGAATAGAAACTGGCTTACTTCGTACACTTTGAAGGTACTTTGACGAGCTATGGTCCGGCTACGAATGATACAGGCGCCAATTCAATTTTGTTTTTGTTTTTTTTAGCTTGGCGAATTTGACTTTTGATATATATTGTGTCTAGCAACCGTTTAATGAGGCAATTTAGGGACCTCCTTTCCTTGCGTTTGGGGATTTTCTTTTCCGATACGCGATAAACATGCTTGAGGGACAGACCCGACTCTCGGCTGTAAAATAAAAGCTAGATATACTCGCAGCCTTGACTGTTTCAATATTAAACCTAATAATTTAGTCTAATCATGAAACGCTCCCAAAAGACCAGATCCTAGCACAGATAAACGCCAAGACAAACATACAAGGATAGTCCACTACAGCTCAAAAGTCCTCCATTCTATAAACACCATAGGACGGCTGTTCATACGGATGAGCCCTAGAGAATGCACGAGACGGGATAAGCGAGAATAAACTCCCTCTATGGGAATTCAACAAGGACTCACTTTTTCAATGCCTCAACAGCTTTCCGGGCGATATCCTCACTAGAGCACAATGCCTCTACCCTGACCTCCTCCGTAGTCTCCAATTCCCCCACTTTCCCAATGTGCGGATTAGCTGCGTCTCCAGGACGAAACTGGGAGGTACCTGGAGTGGTCCAGCAGCACTCCGTGTAGTTCCCTTGGCCTGGGTAACGGCCTGCACCTGCAGAAAAGATGGCTGTCTTGCAGGCTGGTACGGCGGCAGGGGGAGCAAAGAATACGAGTCTGAATCGGAGGGACATTTTTGAGAATGTAGTGTGGTTAAGGGATTGGAGTTTGTCTGGTGGGACTGGATGTAATGTTGAGGTTTCACGGTTGTGTTGATGTGGGGTTGTTGTCGTTGTCTGGTCTGGATTGTTGGTGGTGAATGGGAATGCATATGTAGCGCTATTGTGGCTTTCTGCTATATGGGTCTTCTATATGAATGTGCGCCAATCAATTGCGCTCTCTATTCCGGGTGACGGATTTCAAATGGCAAATAAGATGCATGGGAGGTATAAAGAAGGCTTTTCTAGGTATATGGTGGTGGCTGGCTATTGGATCCTCGACTACTGCTGTTGGGCACCGATGCAGACGGGACGGAGAGGGGGAACCGAATCCCTTGTTGTTTATCGGTATAGTGCTCAAATGGCTAGTATTTGCATCTACCTTGGTAGCAATTCATGGTTTAAGTTCATATGAGTGCCTTTAATCTTCATTGTGTCCAAGCCAATTGTGAAACATACATGCAGTATTTCAGATGGGGTTATGATTTTGGAACTGTCTAAAATGAGGGGTTAGATTTTATGATATTATTGCTCACGGTATGCTAAAACTTTTTTAATTAATTAGCTGGAAGCACTGAGTACCACATGTGGCGAAGGTATCTGGGCGTTTAGGGTAATGTTCTCATTGATTTTGAGAGGACTGAAGGTAATTATAGATGAGCTACGGAGTATAACCAGAACTGATCTACGGACACTACACTAGCTTCCATTGTAGGTTACTATTTGAGTTCTGGCCCTGGTGCCTGCCTAGTCTTTCTCTATTTGTTGGCTGCTTGATCTGCGACTTGAAGGGTTGATCTATGCATCACAGCCTAAAACGTACATTTGTAGACTCTTCTATGTAGTCCTGGGCATTATTACCCCCCTAACAGTTCTTTGATCATGGTCGTGACTGGTATGATATTCGTCACCAGAGCCCGTTGGCCTTAAGTTGCTGTAAGGGGAATGTTAGATCTACAAAATCAACCCTAATAAGAAGGGACCAGTCCAGCGTCAATGTCAAGAGCATTGGTGTGAATGGCCTAAATGCTTGTGGTAATAGTTGGCCATCAAATCGCATTAACGACGATGGTGTTCTTGATCTGGCCGCTGTGGGCTGAGAGAGGGTAAAGAAGGTCGAAGCAACTACATCTAGATAGGTTTATCGGAGTGCCTCTTCAAGTCTTTCACTTGTATATACTATATACAACTTCGAAATTGGTTGTTGTCCGGGGTAGGAATGCTTGACCTCGGTAAACATGGCCAGGGCGCAACAGAGCCCGCAAGCGGGACCCGACATGTCTGCCGACTGGAGGGTCGGATGGAACGGCACGTCGTTGCTTCATTGTGACTGGATATCTGCACCTAGATTCGGTTCCACATTCCTTTACGGAGTAGTACTCCATTACTACTAGTACTCTGGAGTAGAAAGTTGCCAGTAGCAATGAATTGTCCTATCCATGATTCTATACGCTGCTTGAATGGCACCATAGAAAGCTTTTAAAAGTTGTCACTTACCTAAAGTTGGATCCTGCTTTGCGGATAAATATCCGAAGCAATTGAATCAATATGAATCATACTCCAGAGACCCTCAAAACTCGCCCTTATCAGGGCCCAGATGCACGAGACTGCGAAGACCTACCTACTCCGGAGTATAATGGCGCTAAGGTTATCAGAAATTTCAGTACATGCCTGCACTCCTAGAGATCAACACGACCCGCGTTGGAGAGGGGTTTAGCATCTGCCATCTACACCTGCCTTTTTGATAGTAATTGCTGATCAAAAAAAAAATTATCCTACAAGCGTTGCAGCTTCCAAATTCAATCAACTTCCTTCTTTCTTCTACCTATTTGCCTCTTTAAATCCTTTTACTTCGCCCGTCTGTCTTTTCGCTCACCTCGTTTTCCATGTCCGATAGGAGGATGATAATAGAGCATATCGCTATCCTTATATCTCGCTGATTAGATTTTCACGCCGCAAAGCGTTGAAACAGGCGTGTTCTTTCATCTGGTGCTCGCCGTTGTCTTTCTTTGGGGGCCGCTGTGAGGTTCAGTTGACTTCTTGGAATCATCGCCACCCTAAACGTGACACAGAGAGAGGTGTAACTGGTTGATTGAGTTCTTGATATGCGTCAACCATAATCAAGTCGCATCTCCCCAAACGTGAACTCTTTATTCAATTTATGCGCAGGATAAAAGATTCTCAAGATATCAGCAACGCTGAACCATGGGAAAAGAAGGCACATCTGCGGGTACGCCCCCATATTATGCTCCCAGGGAGCATGAGAGGCACGCGATGGATCCATCACCAAGGAATACCACAGATACGGATAGTGATCTCCAGTCCATAGCACCGGAGGACCGTCCGCCTCAAGCATTTGAAGGAAAAGATGAAGAATGTCGCCCTCCCTATGCCTCGGGCACAAACTGCGGTACTGCGGTTGTGGTGCCGAGGCTAAATCGCAGAGGACTCTTTGGACAATTCACACTCCTGGCTGAAGTTGAAAATCCGAAGACTTATTCTCGGAAGAAGAAATGGTTCATCACTTTCATTGTTGCGTGGGCAGGAGCCACAGCCCCTATGGGAAGCGCAATACTCTTTCGTAAGTCGATACCCTTTCCAAGTTGGTCTTGATGGGACACGGGTATTTACTGCGTCTAGCTGCCCTGTCTCAGGTCACCAAAGAGCTGAGCTCGACAACCACCGTGGCGAACCTCAATATATCTTTGTACATGCTTAGTATGTCAATCTTTCCATTATGGTGGTCTTCTTTTAGTGAAAGGCTGGGGCGACGAACTATATATCTTGCATCCTTTTGCCTCTTCGTGGTATTCAATGTACTCTGCGCTATTTCCAAGTCGATGGCCATGCTCATTGTCATGCGTATGCTCAGTGGTGGAGCTTCAGCTTCGGTCCAGGCGGTCGGAGCAGGGACAATTGCAGATCTATGGGAATCTCAAGAGAGAGGCCGTGCTATGGGAATATTCTACCTTGGTCCATTATGCGGTCCGTTGGTGGCACCTATTGTTGGGGGTGCTCTGGCTCAACGGTGGAAGTGGAGGAGCACGATGTGGTTCCTAGCAGCTTATGGAGGCATAACCGTCGCGTTTATATTCTTCGCCCTTCCAGAGACGTTGGTATCGGCGAAGTCCCCTAGTCCCAATACAAGCAGTGAGCAACAGGAACCGATTGGGCGTCGGCTGAGCCGAGTCTCTTCCCGGCAGGTTGTGGGGTTAACCACCAAGTGGCTGAAGATCCTCAAGATGGCTCTCGTTGATCCGCTGAAAATTGTACTTTATCTTCGATACCCACCAGTCTTACTCACGGTATACTACGCAAGTATCACTTTTGGCTCTCTTTATGTGTTGAATGTCAGTGTTGAACACACCTTCGGGAGCGATCCATATAACTTCACTACGATCCTTGTCGGACTGCTCTACATCCCAAATTCTTTGGGCTATGTTGTCGCCAGTACATTCGGAGGGCGATGGATGGACAATATCATGCAGCGGGAAGCCAGAAAGGCACAAAGATACGATGAGAATGGCAATCTAATATACCATCCCGAAGACCGCATGCGTGAGAATGCCTGGCTGGGTGCTCTTTTGTATCCTGCTGCGTTGATTTGGTATGGCTGGACCGCAGATCGGGGTGTATTCTGGCTTGCGCCGGTATGGTGTTCATTTCCTTTTCCCTTCTCATATCCTGTGCTCTATGATTAGAGGAACTAACGATCTATTTCTGCAGATGATTGCAAATTTTTTCTTTGGTATAGGATCCATGCTTATTTTTAGCATGGCAACGACGATGTTGACGGAATTTATGCCCAAGAAGGCTTCCTCCGGGGTTGCACTGAATAACTTTATGCGGAACATCTTCTCCTGCGTCGGTTCTCTGGTCACAGCTCCTATCATTGACGCGATTGGTAACGGATGGTTGTTTACTATACTGGGGATTGTTGCCTTTCTAAGCAGCTCCGTTCTGTTCGCGATGAAGGTCTTCGGGCCTCGCTGGAGAAAGTCAATGGATGCACTCAGGCATTGACAAGATTCATTGAGTCCAGCTGTCTAATTGTGGGCCTTGAGAAGGCGTGGCGTTCTAGAACATTCAAAAGATTAATCTTCTTCTCTTGTCCATTGTCATGTTGGGCTGCTACTATGCATTGTCATAAACATGGTATGCATTTTGTATCTAGCAGCTACCTTTTTTTTGTTGCAGGATCGTCATCGCCCACATCTCGCTTCTTTGGAAGAAGCAAAACCAAGTACGTAAGGCTGGAACTGTGGATATGTCACATGATTGGTCTGGATAATCACTATTATGCTCCCTGGATGATGTTACTGTTTAAAGATACCCGAAGCACGATTCATGTTATTTTTAGTGCTAATGTGAAGGTGAATGTTGTCAGATACCTAAAGTGGGAATGTTACCTGTTCCTGCCTTCTCATCATAGGTCCGTGGAGGACCTCAGTGGGCAGCATCAAGTACGGAGTCTCCTATGAATAGAGTTCATTGGGAGCAAAGGTAGCTGCCAGGTGTGATTCATGAACAGTTCTTCCAATTTCCTCCCAATTCCCGTCCCAGCGACTATACCGCTGTTTATTTTCCCTCGCTCAATTCAGAGCCAGCCACCAGGGCGAGACAAATCTGACCTGTCTTAGTTTCTCTTTATTCTTGTCTAGGTGATTTTATTCAGGTATTGTACCCACATGCTGCCTGAGACTGATGTTCGAGGTGCATGGAATGGAGTCGATGATTCTCCCGTATACTCTCGATATAGATCGTGGAACTACGGACTAGGCCTATAACAGAAACCACGCATTGACCCGAGAGGCGCTAGGGTAGTTCGGACCAGGATGGTGAAATGCGTAACAAAGCCATAGGCCATGATTCTGCTGCATTAACTTACTGGCATGGTTATCATGGTCAGGCGATGGTACGCAGGGATTCACGTAAGGCAAAAAGTACATATCTGGACCGCTGCATTGAGCGCCGTGTGATGACGTTCGGGTTCTACACCCTACTATTGGCCCGTGAAGATCATACCTATGCAATGAAGGTTCTCGACGGTGTCAGATTCTCCCCTACAGCAGTGCCTCGCCAATGCATGTTACGTCAGGGCATTCATTATGCTTTGCACCCCATCGGCCAGCTGGGCTCGACGATACTGCAGAGATCTAGGGCAGTCGATTCGATGTAGCTGCTAGCTGTCCGACTCTGAATGGCAGCTTTAATCTCGCGGCGATAGATCTTTCGCGATGTGAAAGGGGCATTGGCCCGTCGAGCGCTAGCTGTCCACCGTGGGATGGATCTCGATGAGAGAGTCATCCACTGTGTGGAGGGGTTAGTTGCTAGCAGCTTCAATTCTTAGCCAAGGGACGTATCTAGTCTAGCGTCATTGGTTTGGTACGTTCTCGAAATTTAGTGACTCTGTTTGTGATTCTTCCGATATCGATGGATCTGCTTGTGGGCGCAACGACAGCCATTCACCGGCCGCCAGAACAGCGCGCCTCACTTTCTTTGTGGATGCGACAGGCCTTCGGTCAGTCCACTCTGTAATGGTCCTTTTTCGGCTGATTTTCGGTTGGTTCTTCTGCAATTGTGTCAATCGAATTATATTTTTGTTCCCTTGCTCGTAAGGTCATAGGATCGAATATTAATTGTCAGGTTACTTGACTTTTGTCTTTTGCGATCAATTCCGACGTCCAATTGAAGAGGAACGGGAGGAAACCGGGTGTGGTTACGGTTACAAAACAGTGGCATCCACTAATCTCCATTAGGCGGTCCAGTGATCAACGGCACTTGCTGAATTGTTCGTTTGTGGAGAAAGGGAACTAAACTTCTCTCTGTGTTTCATCCTTCTCTCTCATCGCTTTTCTGCCATCCCAAGAGTTGTTGCTACAGTAATTCGAGGGACCGCCCTGTTCCATCCGTCTTAGCTGCAGCAAATCCCTCCCTAAATGTTAGGGTTATTATGGCCCGGACCCATTCGGACGCTGCGTCCAATTTGCTGCCGCTGCCCGGAGCAGGCGTCGGGCAGAAATCCTCTGATTGATTAACAGAGATACAGTATACGGAGTACACAGCATGAAGTTACGGAGTACTAATGGTCTCTAGCATCATTCTTGCGTCTCGTCTCCATATCTAATGCTAGATGGTTGGCGTTTCGCTGCCCATTAACGGAAAATTCCAGTCTTGGTTGGCTGTAATCGTTTGCGTTGGTCTGGTATCGACCATTAGCCTTAACTTTTCTATCCCAGTCCTTTTTGGCTGCCCTGGTGGTTTTCACCATGACGCGTCGGTTAGCATCCAGTCTAAATGGAGGGTCTGTGGACTAAAAACAGACGGGCAGAAAGACCCCATAACAAAAAAAAAAAAAAAAAAAAAGCCAATTCCAACCGATCAGTGGCACCACCCCCACTCATACTACAGATTGTATGGAGTAACCAATTTTCTATTCTGAGTATGGTGCTTGTCTTTCTGGATCATCTACTCCTCACCAGGCCCGCCGCCACTGCTTCCTACTGCAAGCTTCTCATGCAGATGACAGTCTTCCGGTTTTCTCCCTGCCCCAGTGATGCTTGCCAGAAATACGCCCACTTTCTATGTCTGTCCACAGTGTTATGGGACCCGTGAGACGTGGCCCAATAAGAGATTATGCCGTTGGGCAGTTCGTCAATGATGTCCCCAACCCCCATGCCCGAACTGCAGCTCGAAATTGTCCCGTCCAACTGGGTCGTGGATGAAGTTCGATACGTCGCCTCGCTTGGCTCTCGAAAAGAATTGTTTGCGGACTGGCGCACATTTGCTGCTTGTACTTTTTTGCCTTCAAGCCAATACGTCAGGGTCTGTCCGAACCTGACCTTTCACATTCCATCTCGGTTCATACTCCATTCTGATCCGTCGCCCCCCCCCCCCCCTTCTTTCTTTTCTTATTCCCTTTGCCCCTGGCCCTGTCTAGGCCCCAACAGGCGGGTGATCAAAGCTCCCTCAATTGATCTATATCTAGTGCCCAGTTCCCACTCTAATTAAGGCCATACAAACTTGTACAACATCACTGATCCGATGCTATGGCCAAGAAAGGAGGAAAGAACAAGAAGAAGAACAATAGCAACAATAACAACAAGCAACGACTACCAGTAAACGACAATCAACTATCAACCCCAGAGAACAGCCCCCCTATCGAGCCCGCCCCGGAAACGGCGGTTGAATCTGCAGAAAATGGGGAAACCGATCCAGTATGCACAGCTTCCCAAATTTGAGTACCAGACTTTCGAGCGTCAATATCAGACCTTCGACCGTCATACTTTTCAATTTTCATTCTATCCTGTCGCTTCTACATCAACAGACGATCTGACACCTGACAATGATCAGGGCAACAACCCCACTGAAGCAGGCAATATTCCAGAAGAAGGATCAAGTAGTCCCTCCGCGGACATTCCATCATCCCCTGAGGCTGCAGGTAAGCCCATATATATGCGTTCCCTTTATCCACTATCTTGTGTGGTCCATAATGATGGACGCCTGCCCTTATCGTGATCACTGTGTTGTTAGCAATGGCCGCTGTCTTATTGTGGTTTCCTTACTAAACATGTGTAGAATCGTCTGAAGCGACAACGCCGTCCCCGGATCCCGTAGAAACCCCCAGTGAGACTGCTGCTGAGCCAGTCGAAGAAAAAGGAGAGCCGGCTGCAGAAACCGACGACGCAACCCAACGCCCGGGGATGAGAGCGCCTCAGACGACAAGAAAGACGAGCCACTAGCTGAGGACTCGGCCCAGCATACAGAAGCGGAACAGGATGCTACAGACGCTTTGAATCCAAGCGCACCAGAGCAAGATTCTCAAGAGCCGAAGAATGGTACGCTTCAGACAATGCCAGTGCACACAGTCAGCTGACCTTACTTATAGAGACTGGTATCTCAGAAGATAGTCCTTCTGTTGACTCAGATAAGCCCGCACCTGAAAATGCAGAAGCTGCGGAACAAGTAGGTGAAAATGCTAAGGCAGAAGAAGAATCGGCAGCCAAAGAGACCGAGCCAGTACCGGCTCTTCCTGAAGAGGAAACAAGTGGCCCGCCTACAGATGCTGAAGCTCCTCTGCAGCCTGTAGATGAGCCCGTAAATCCCGATGAGACAGACAACACTTCGTCCGATGCTCCCGCAACAGATTCCAACACCGAAAGTCACCCATCTGACCCTGCCCCTGAAACCGAAGCATCATCCGACAAGGCGTCAACAGATGAGCCGACAGCTACAGAGGCTCAAGAGGAAAATGCAGCTTTCGCCAACCCTGGTATTGACACCGAACCAAACCTAGCAGAGTCTACGGATAAAGTAGAGTCGGGCTCTGGAGAAACGGCGGTTGATGAAGCTGCCGCAGACGGGGAGAGTAAAGAGAGTCCCCCAGCAGAACCTGCGGGAGACGCAGCCGCTATCGAAGAGCCTGCACCTAAAGATACCAATGAAGGCGCAGCTCAGGCAAAGGCAAGAAGGGAAAGAAGAACAAGAAAAAGAAGAAGAAGGGCGCTGCCGCCGTGGAAGAGCCTCCCTCCACACCTCCGCCTCAGGAACCGGAACAGGTCGAGAATCCTGTTGCCGCTGAAGCAGAAGTCGAACCTGAGGTCAAGGAAGCAGAAGCAGAAGCGGCAACAAGTATATCAGACGAGACAAACGACAACCCGGCAGAAGACACCACTGAGCCCGGTCCGTCTGCCAATGAAGATCAGGCCGATGCTGGAGCCGATGCTGTTACTGACGATAAAAACCTTGAACCTGCGGCAGAGGAGCCGACTTCTGAAGAGCCCATTCCTAGTGATCCTTCTATGAATAAGCCTAGCGATGGATCTGGTGCTCCGGAAGTTGCCGAGCATGTCGCAGATGCCTCTGAAGAACCGCTAGCCGAGTCATCGCCAGAAAAAGGAGCTTCTGAAGCAGAAGAATCGCCGGAGACAGCACCTGAGGAACCGCCACAAGAGGAGCTAACGGAGGAGACTGCATCTGAGAGGGATGATGTTAATGCTGGTGCTGGTGAAGCGGCTCCAGGGATCTCTGCAACCGACGAAAAGCCTTCTGAAGAAGAAGAGCCGGTTGAAGAGCCGGTCAACACGGAACCCGCGGAGCAAACACTGGCTGATGAGGGAGTAGACGAGGCAACAGCAGAACCCACGGCTGAGGAAACTCCTGCAGAAGTTCTAGTCGACAACAAAGAAGCAGCAAGCGATGGACATGCCTCTGACGCAGAAGTTTCCGGAGAAGTACAGGTTGAAACCCCAGCTACTACCCCAGAGCCGCAGGAAGATCTAGTGGAAGAAGACAAGGCAGGAGAGGAGGCCTCAGAGGAAGCCTCCCCAGTTAATGACGCCCCCGTGGAGAAGTCCGACGATCAGGAAGCTTTGTTGGAGGAAGCAGTTGCTTCCAAGAAGGAACTTCCTGCTGCAGATTCGGCAGAAGAAACGGTTGCAGAAAAGCCCACCACTACGGAAGAGCCTCAGGCTGATGATCCTCCTGTCACTGAAGCTGTTGCAGCAGAACCTACTCCAACGGAAGAGGCTCCTCTTACCGAAGAAGCTCCTGTTACCGAGGAACATGTTGCTGCTGAAGACGTTCTTGTCGAGGAAGCGCCTGTTGTCGAGGAATTGCCTATCACGGGCGAGGCTCCTGCTGCCGAAGAAGCTCCAACTACTGAACCCGCCGTTACAGAAGAGGCTCCCATCGAAGAAGCCCTTGCCGAAGAAACGCCTCTCGCAGAAGAAGTCCCTGCTGTCGAGGAAGCTCCCGAGCCACCCACTTCTGAAGAAGCCCCCGCGACTGATCCTGCTGTCACTGAAGAGGTTCACGTTGAAGAAGCCCCTGTCGAAGAATCACCTGTTGCTGATGAGCAACTTGCAACTAAGGAAGTGCCTTCTGAGGAAGCCCCTGTTGTTGATGAGCCTGTTGAGGAAGTAACTACACCTGAAACAGCGCCTGTTATCGAAGAAACTTCTGCTATTGAGGAGCCTGCTGTTGTTGAGGAAGTTGCTGCTGAAGAACTACCTGTCGAAGAACCTCCTGCTCCCGAAGCTCCAGTTCCTGAGGAGCATGCAGCCGTTGAGGAAGTTCCTGTTGAAGCTCCAGCTCCTGAGGAGCCTGCTGCTGTTGGGGAAGTCCTTGTTGAAGAAGCTCCTGATCCCGAAGCTCTGTTTCCTGAGGAGCATGCAGCCGTTGAGGAAATTATTACTGACAAAGCACCTGTCGAAGAAGCTCATGCTCCTGAAGCTCCAGTTCCTGAGGAGTCTGCCAATGCTGAAGAAATCGCTGTTGAAGAAGTGCCCGCGCCATCTGTATCGAGAGGAGTCACCGTTGATGAAGTCTCAGGGGTTGAAGAGGCCCCCGTTGAAGAGGTCCCCGTTGAAGAGGTCCCCGTTGAAGAGGCCCCCGTTGAAGAGGCTCCCGCTGAAGAAACCCCTGTCACTGTAGAGCCTCCTGTTGCCGATGAAGTCCCTCCCGCTGAAGCTCCTGTCCAACCCGCTCCGGAAGACACTCCAGCTGAAGAACTTGAGCCAGCTGAGGAACCCCCAGCGGAGCCGCATGTCGTTGAGTTTGCACCAGCTGATCATATTATCATTGAACGTGCCCCCGCTAGCGATGAGGCGCCTCCTGAAGATTCTGTTACCGCTGAACCAGCTGTTGGAGAGGCACCTTCAGAAGAGTTAGTCCTTGAAGATTCAGCTGCTGACAGAGGGTTGTCCGAAGAGGCAACAGACCCTACAAGCGAATACCCAGATACCGTTGACTCACTCAAAGATGACCCCTCGACTACGACCGAAGCTGCCGCTGGAATTGCAGCCGGAGCCGCCGGCGGAGCTGCCGCCGCCGGTTTGGCTCATGGCCACAGAAAGAAAAAGCGACGAACAGCCGACATGGACCGTGAGCGTGGTCACTCCAAGAGCTCATCTGACGAATACCCGCCTCGGCTGGAACGACAGAAGAGTACTAAACGCGGTGGTATCTTCACAAACCGATGGGCAGAAGCCTTGGATGAGGCGAAGCGGCAGCATGAGAAGAAGGTCAGACATGAAGAGAGACGGAAAGAGAAGTCTGTTGTAGTGGAAAGGGAGTCACGTCATTCATCAGGACGCGAAAAAGAGCACGAGCGGGTGAGACGGTCCGAACGTACCGAGCGCTCTACAAGAGAAAAAGAACCTACGCCTGTCAAGACAAGGACGAAGCCCTCGGAGCACTCTAGCGGCAGTGATCGCGAGCGAAGCGGAAGCTCCTCATCAAGACACGTGCAGCCCTCAACGCCAAAGCCCAGGGCTTTCCTGAAGTACATGACATCAGGGGAGTCAGACACCAAACCCCTACTGAAAATAAGCGGCGACAAAGCTGCCGCAAATATCTATGAGCCTCATAGGAGATCTTCCACGAGCCGTTCCCATGGTCACCGTCACTCTCACGAAGGACGAGGCACCACTGAACGCTCCAGCGGATCTCATCAGACCGAAGAAGATCGAGCTCGACGTGAAGCTCGCAGAGCTCGCAGAAAAGCCGAAGAAGAAGAGCAGACAAAGTCGAAGGAAGAACCTGAGCAACGCCACCACCATCACAGCGGAGAAGGGCATCATCGTCACCATCGGCACAAACGTGCGCCGTCTCCTCCAAGGAGCGGAAGTTCCAAACTAAAAGGCTTTTTTAAGTCTGCTATTGCTGCATATTAAAAACCAATTTTTTTTATGTTTTTTTTTGCCTCTTCCCCTTCTACAATTTTTACAAAATCATTCTTATTTCAGTGTGGCCTTTTATCTTTTCTCATTTTATGTTGTTTCTACTTTGCCATTTATTTCATGTAAAACCCCTTTCTTGTTTGTCTTTTCCCTTCATGTGTTGTCTTTGAAACATAGCATAGCGTTCAGGTAAAGGAAGCATAGCAAAGGTGTTATCTTTATTGTTATGTACTTACCTGTCTGAATACTTTTTCTTTCATGTTGATGATCACTTATTTTATGTTAAAAAATGTGTACATCAATGCTATCCTTCTGTTAATAGATATTGCCCATTACACCAGCATGAGCCCGGTAGATACCCTTCACTGGTTTGAAGGCTCCAAGGTTCGACATCCCGCAGACATTACACATTTCCTGTCTCATCACGTTCAACACTGGTACTAGTCGTGGACTGGTAGATACCGGTATACTCCACGACAGATACCCCCAATTCCTCGAACACAATCTGTGCAAGCTTGGTGTTTTTTTTACGGAACAACTCCGTTAGGATTCTTCACTTCCATCAAGGCCCCCAATAGTACCTTCATATCGACCACGCCAGCAGCAAATCCGACCCCAAACAGCCACAGTGATGATAATGGCAAGTGCAATTACAAACAAATAAAAAAGAGTATACTCGCATTTTAAGTAACCATCATCATCTCTAGTTTTACTGTCTAGCTCCTATCTTACCCAACACCTAGCTCATGACATGCTTTTAATTTCGGCTCACGTTCTTTCGCTTCACTCGCCCTGGCTTGCCCTTACACGGATTATAGAGACGGGAAGAGAGTCCGTTGTGCTCTCACTAGCCTTTCAGAAAGTTCTTAAAATAGCCGATGTAAGCTTGGTATTTTGCGACCTATACTGCCCCTAGTTACAATACATCACAGCACCGGGATGGCCATTCCATCACCTCTCTGGTCGCTTCCTGCGCTGTAAACCAATTGCCCATTATCGTAGTGGCAGCGAATAATCTGTCCCCTACCAAACATGCCTCTCTCCCATCCGCTTAGTACCTTTACTTGGTGGCCGAGACGCTTCAGGCCTTCGACAGCCTCATCGCTGATCCCTTCCTCTACATAGACACTGCGATCTACAGGTTCTCCTAGTTCCGGAGAACTAGCAGCGATACAAATCCTCGGGGAGTCCAACGCCGCCTGCGGGTGATAGTTGAATGCAAGCATGTTGAGTAGCACCTGAACATGACCCTGGGGCTGCATAAAGCCACCCATGACACCATACACTGAGTGTAGAGAACCATCGGAGACGTTAGTGATCATGGCAGGAATAATTGTATGGTAAGGCCGTTTCTGCGGAGCCAGAACATTTGGATGGCCCGGCACTAGAGAGAAATTGGCTCCTCGGTTTTGCAAGGTAAACCCACAACCCTTGGGGATGATACCAGAGCCAAATCCAGCGTAGTTACTATTGATGAATGAGATGCCGTTACCCTCCTTGTCTGTCACTGCAAAGTAGACAGTGTCGCAATGGTTGTGGGCTGGGCTGCCGTGGTCAAGGATATCAGTCGCCTTATCCGGATTGAACAGTTTTGCCCTCTCGGCCAAGTAGGCTGGAGAGATAAGTTCGCTGGTTGGTACCTTCTCCACATCGGGGTCCGTGACCCACCAAGATGCATCAGCGAACGCTATACGCAGACTTTCGATAACTGCATGGAGATATTCCGCAGAGTTATGCTGGGCCTCCGTGAACTTCGGGATCTTGCCCAATTTTTCAAGCTCCTCAAGGATGCCCAAAGCCATGAGAGCAACGATTCCCTGTCCGTTTGGCGGGTGCTCCCAAATCTCCACTCCTTGGTTGTCTTCACCATCCGTTCCTGCATTCTGCTTCTCAGCAATGCTCTGTCCGGTGAACTTGAGGGAGATTGCATCCGTCTCCTGGGTCCCAGTCTCGGCATGGTACTTCAGATCATCTAGGGTAAGGTAGCCTCCCAGATCTTGCACAACTCTCACCAGCGCCTCTGCAACTCGCCCTTCATAAAATCCCTTCTTTCCATTTGCCGCAAGCGATCGGAAGGTCTGGGCCAGCGTAGGGTTTTTCAAGATTTCACCGGGAAGAGGGGCTCTGACCCCATCTTTGGCCTTCTGATCTGGCTTGAGCATCTCATGTGCATTTGGGGATGCTTGTCGAAGGAGATCTTCACCTTCTCGCCACTGTCATTTATTAGCCATCAGCCTATATTCTGCTATAATGTGACATTTCCTGTCTCTGATGACAAAAGTCTGGTGACCAAGGAAGTCTTTCACTTACGAAAAAGGACGATAATTCGGATACAGGAAAACCATTCTCGCCAAGTTCAATAGCTGGAAGTAAGATCTGCTCCAGAGATAGTTTACCACTTCCAAATTTCTCTATGGTGTCAACCCAACCTGCAGCTGCGCCTGGAGTCGTCACCGCATGAACGCTTTTCATAGGAATGGTTCCAGCATCATCTGGGCCGACATTCAGGTCGCTCCGAATTTTCTCTAGTGTAGCATTTGCAGGGTACCGCCCAGATCCATTAAGGGAGTGAACTTTCTTCGTTTTGGCATCGTAGAAGAGACAGAACATATCTCCTCCAATACCCGTTGACGAAGGTTCGGTGATGTTCAATGCAGCGGCTATCGGCAATATTGAATCAGCTTCGTTTCATTGTACCGATGAGATTGGCATTACGTACCCACAGCTACGGCAGCATCCTTTGTTGACCGTTAGCATGCTCTGGACGGAAGAAGAATTGAGTATCAAAACGCACTGCAGCATTTCCTCCTTGTTCCAAAATTCTTTGGCCCGCAGCAGCTGCCAAAGGCTGGGTACATGTTACGATCCCATTTGTGCTATGCACAGTACTTCTCCGACTCGTGAATGGGACGAAGTCAGGATTCACTCTAGAGTAGATGGCTTTCGAGTTGAGGGGCATTTTGGATTGAACTAATTGCTTCTGTGGTCGTCGTGAAACGAGGTCTTACTCATAGAAAGGATACACTGAGCGAAAGGGAAAGCAGCTCGTGTTGCTTTAGTACTGTCGAGGGGCCCTCGGCCGAGATATTAGTTATAGGCTTCCCCATAGTTTCCTTTACCCCGCCAGCCTTGTCCTCGGAAAGCACCATATAGTTGGAGTCATCGTATCTTATCGGTTACGTGCTCGGTTGGGGTCGTTGATAGGCTAGAAAGCCGGTCCCATGTGACAAGGCACTGAAGCCCATCGATGACCATGACATTAACGATCATTTAGTATGACTTGAGATATGATCAACACAACTCTGTTGTAGAGAGAGAGAGAGAGACTGACTGAAAGAGAAGGATCCTTTCCAAAGGATTCGGAGAAATCCGCCTTCAATCGTGACCTTCCTAACTTGGAAGGTGGAGTAAATGTCTCCAAATCAAGGAAAGCGCCGCCTCGTGACCCCAACCCGTCAGATGCGCGCGCGTGATTCCGAAAGATTAATTTCACTGATCGATCGATAAGATATTGTCTGAAGACCTGCACGACAAACGGGTGGAGGAAACTTTGGACCTTATCCACTGTCCCCTGGAATTCTGTTCAGGTACAATCCAAAACAGGCAGGATAGGCGCGAAAAGACGCATCAGACCCAGACTTTCTCATCGGCATCTTAATCACCGAGACGAACCACCTCTGTTGCTGTGGTCCCGCACCGAAGACGGAGAACAACTTCCCTAACCGCGTCATCCACTGCTTTCCATCACCGCGTAGCAGTATCCTATTTAAATTCATAATTCAGCTTTAAAAGCAAGAGAAGCTCGGGCTCTCTGTTGCATCCTTTTAAACATTTTGGCTAGTGTTCGTTTTGTTGACTTTGCGCTGCTTCTACTAGCTCTTCTGCTCCCATCAACAGTACAGATCTAGATCTTTTCTTTATTCAGTACAACACAATGGTGGTATTCGTGGACTTAGACCATGATACATTCAGCAAGAATCAGTTCTCTCATGGAGCCGATGCTTTGCCGCATCTCTTCGCTGAACCGGGGAAGTCGACATTGTCCAAGTTGATGGTTGTCGGAGCTCCACAGTCCGCAAAGCTGCCTACTGACGATGATATTTCCACCAACCCAACACACGATGCACTACAGTCTCACTTGGAAGAACAAAATCACAATCAAAATGCCTTCTCAGCTGCTTTGGGCTGTTATCCGTATGCAACACTAGTGAACCAGGCTACGTTGTGTCTGGTTCGGTATTGTGGTGCTGACTAGAAGATTCAGGATCGTTAAAGAGATCGCCCGATCAGTGGATCTTAACACACTGCACGCCCTATCTCGGACATGCCGCCAATTCCATGCGAATCTGGCACCCTACCGCCATCAACTAGTCAAGCGAACCCTACGCTGCGAGAATGAATACATCGAGACGCTGTCAGACCTACTACGTAGCGGCACTCCAATCCCCGACAGCGTCAAGTCCGTGATCCGACTACTGAGCCAAGAGGCCAGGAGCTCTGGGCGTCTAACTGCTGGCAAAGTTGCCAAATGTGCCCGAGACATGGTTGGCGAGTGTCGGCGATGCTCCAAAGTGGTTTGTCGCGTACGTTGGTTGGACCCGATTGCCGAAAGCAAAGCAATACTAATGGCCCTCTCTAGAATTGCACAGCCAAACCACCAACCAGCAATATGCTGAAGAACCGCATCCGTCGTCTCTGCACCGCCTGTCAAACAGCACCGCTAGCCGATCTTCTTGCCTTGTCCCCCCCGAGCCTGTCTGCCTATGATACCCAGCCTTTGTCATCCGAGCAGCCTAGCTTTACAACCGAAGCTTTTCAGCGTACTCCTTGTTCCTGTGCAGACTCTGTCTGGCTCTGTCATCCGTGCGGAATGTTCGTACGCAACAGTGACACAACGTACCGCCGTGTATGGACATGGCGGACCAGGTACAGTACCTACCTGGGAGGACTAGGCACTGGCATTGGCGAAGGCTGTCAGGGAGTCAAATGCGGTCGTGGGGAAACTTGCCTGGCAGCTCAAGAAATTGAGCTCGAAGTAGAATGCGAAGCAGACGGGTCTTCAGGCAGTCCACACGGAACTGGATATGGAAATGCGGGATCACATAATCATCCGAACGACCGTCGGGACAGCCGTGAAGAAGAAGAGCCTGGGTATTTCCGACAAGAGATTATCGGAATTGGAGGTGTTGTCAAACATAAAGCCAAGAAACGGGTTATGGTGGGGGCCTGTGTCGTTGAACACGAAGATGAGAGAGAAACAGGCCAATATTTGGCCCGTGAAGAGGCTGGGCAACATCGAAGCTGGTGTGGATGGTGCTGGAGAGTCATTCCTTCCAAGGGTGACTTACAGAAGTGACTCAGACGTCGAGGGGTTTGTTTCACGTTTAGCATCACATAGCTAGCAATTGATTTTCTCCCACAAGCATCAATCGTACATACAAGTACATCAATCAACCATTCAACCGCATCAAGAAAGCAAGCCCAACCCTGTAAATGCCAAACAAACCCAAAGCTCCCACCACCCCAGAAATAGC